GTGTCTAGTGAGTACGGGGGCTAATGTCCCATCGTAAAAATTTGAAATTGAAAAGAAAAATCTTGCGTAATAGAAGTACACATTCTTAGTTATTTTGTCGAGTTGTGAAAAAACACAAATTTGTTTCTTCTTGAATTTGTTATACTCTCATCCGGTTTGAGTGATTTTAGTCTTTCCGATATGCCCGTCGGATATCGGAAATTACCGTAAAATGATCGATTAAGCGCCGCGGCGCTTATTAGGGAGGGGCGCTTATTTCAACTACAGGTAAAACAGAAAGGGGAATGTAGAGACAACTCGGAGTTGGGCAAGAAAGAGGATAAATTTGCACTCCTCGAACTGTTATATGAACCTGGTTTCGAAAGTTTCCGTACATTAAAACTTTAGAACTGACGAGTGGGTGTGGGTCTTTTTATATCAAGCGTCGTAACAAAGGTAGGGCGTTTAATTGGAAATCAAATTAGCGCTGCGGCGCTCATTCGAGAGCGGCGTTTATTCGAGAAGCGACCCTTAATCGAACATTTACGGTAACATTTTCTTTGTAAGAAAAGGAAAAAATGAAAGATTTTCCCCTATGCTTTCATGTGCATTGGTTAAATTTTCTTTTCATAACCTACTATGCTTATAATCGCGCATTCTGACATTATTTATCCTTAAAAAAATTAGTTTGTTGAAGAAAGAGTGAATTAAAGGTCTCATGAGGCGTTTGTGATTTTACAAACTATTTGACGCAGTCCTTTTTTTACGGCTTATGTCCGTTGGGGAAATTGCTACTTTGGTTTTCTTGGATTGAAAAGGGCGGGCTCTTTCTAAACGTGGCGTTGTTTATGGGACCTCAGTATACAGAATCAGTCGATGGCAAACAACGAAAAGGCTTTTATGTGGTAAGTTACAGTGATGAACCTTGCCTCGAGATGGTGATATTTTTGTTTGTATCTTCAGTGTTGGTCTGAAACTATTGTAACTCTGATAGGGCACTTTCGTAACAGGCAGTAGGGCACTTTCGTAACAAATCGGGCACTTTCGTAACAAATCGGGCACTTTCGTAACAGATCAGGCACTTTTGTAACAAAATGAGGAACTTTGGTAACACCCATTTCTATTCATTCAAATCATCTTTTTTTCGTCATTCCCTCACTATGTGCCAAGAATAAAGTAAATATTATCACCTGGATATACAGTAAGAATGTATTATGATTTTTGCAAACTGAAAATGAAAACATGCCGTTGCATGGGTTCACTTTGAAAACAAAATTGCCAAATGGCTAATAAAAAAGAATTAGACGTGTGACTGTGTGCCTGTGTTTTTTTTTTTTTTCTTTTGCTGAGTTTAGCTAAGCGACTGCTTTCTTTACATAAACAATGACTTGACTCAGAGCGCCCGAAGCTTAAATGCTAATATTGCGCTCTCGGTTCGTGCACTTTAAAAAAATGGGCATAATGATAGATACTGATTTATCGTGATGTGATTGATTTATTTTACCTGTGTAAAATGAAGTTCAAGCTAGTAATCACAAGTAGAATATGTTACATGTAACAGGAAGGGGCAATATGAGGCGCCGAACATAGCCGTACGTAGCCGTGTTCATAGCCGTGCATATCCATACATAGACGTACATAACCGTGCATAGTCGTGCATGGCCGTGCATAGCTGTGCATTGTTGTATATAGTCGTGCATAGCCCTATATAGCCTTTGCGTGGCCGTACATAGCCGTGCATGACCGTACATGGCTGACGTAGCCGTGCATGGCCGTACATAGCCGTGCATGGCCGTACATATCCGAACATCTTGATGTTTTTATAATCTTAAAAGGCTGGTTTTCTATCTAGAGCGATACAAAACACCTTTTCTTAGCCTATTTCACCTTAAAAGAAAGACGAAGAAATTTCAAAACTTTGACCAAAACGATGGACTAACCCCTTTGGAAAACCGTCAATTTTTCGACTTTTTTAAATGGACGTTTCTATAGTCTAAAAAGACTGGTTTTCTATCTAGAACAATACGAAACACTTTTTCTTTGCCTATTTGGCCTAAAAAGAAAAGAAGAAGAAATTCATAATTTTTACCAAAACCATGGACTAATCTCTTTGGGAAAATGTCAATTTTTCGACTTTTTTCAATTGATGTTTTTATAGTCTAAAAAGGCTGGTTTTCTATATAGCCTTATGTAGCCTTACATTGATACATTCTTCTGGCAATATGTTTGAGTCGCTTTTGAAATGTCAGCCGGTGCGCCGTCCTACGAAAGTTAATAGCCTGTCTTACGACATGCAAGTTAAATAAAAGTTGTCATTTTAAAATTAAGTTCAAGCTAGTACGAGTAGAATATCTTACATGGAACTGTATGGGGCGCGCCGCCGGCCAGTTCAAAAAAGAAGTTACTTTAAAAACTAGGATCAGGGGTAGAATATGTTACATGGAACTGTATGGGGCGCAACGCCGGCCCGTTCGAAAAAAAAGTTAGCTCTAACTTCTCCCTTCTTACTCCAGAGTAGTCGGTTTTTTACCTTACTTTCACTAACAATGAGAAAATTCCGGCATCCTTCTTCTTTCCGCCCACCAAACCTGGGTATACAGTAAATATATCGATAGATTTGGGCGAATTCATCGTAATGTCATTGTTTAATTTCACCTGTGTAACAACAAAGGCTAATAAAAGTTCAAGGCTTCACATGAGCATTTCCCATTAATAGGATCAGACTAGATTAAGTGTAACAATAACAAAGACTAATATAAGTCTACAAAAAACCCAAATTCAAGACTTCTCCTAAATTAACATTCTCCTTTACACTCTTTTTTATCCTATAAGAATATGTTTTATGAGAGTATCAAGGCAAAATTGCGAAATTTTAAGAATAAACCCCAGGCTGAGAATTTGAGAAGGACTAAATTTGATGTTGAAAAATCTGTAAATACCTGTACAGTACAGTCATATGTCTTTAACTTAACCGTATAAAATTATCAATTTTAAACAGATCTAAACAAAGAACACTGGTAATTGAAACCTCATTACATTCTAAAATGGGAATACCATAAGCTATAATTTAAGAATAGTTCAAGAATATTTTCAACCTTAAATAGACAGTAAAATAAAAACATTCAGCCCGTGGCGGGAAAACAACATTCTTATGTAAAAAAGAGTGTATTTGGATCAAATTAACTGTAACAACAACAAAGACTAATAAAAGTTTAAAAATAACTCAAGTTCAAGAGTTCAAAAGAGTTTAAAAAACGTTTACAACGAGACCTTTCCTATATAAAAAACGCTCGTTAGTAAACATTACGCCGGTACACATATGGTCATTCATTTGTAACATCGCCCGCCCCTTACGGTTTTTTTTTGTTGTTGTAAAGCATAAAAAGAACAACAACCAAAAAATACTTCAACGGACAAATGCGATAGTCGTACGCGTACGTTGCAAATGAATCCACGCATGATTTCAACACCTAAAACTAGAACAATAACCAGAGTAACAGTAAACCCTGTGTGCTATCACCATTGTTTCTAACAGGTTATTCGTGTTTTTTAATAAATTGGAGAGCCGGTTCTTTGTAAATCAATAAAAAGGTGCACTTGAAAGCGGGATGAAGATAAACCACGATAAGACCCCTCTAAATGGTTTCCACGCTGTCCCGAACGTTAGCGGTACAATATTTAAAATGTTCCTATTCAAAGCCAACGGATTTGAGTAGGTTGGTAATATTGTCGACATCAAAATTAAACTTGTTTATGTGACTAAACACCCTAAGAAAGACCGTTAGTTTGTTCTGTATGTGTGTGTACGCTACTCCCAAAAACCCAGATCGGGCTCTTTTGTAACAAAATGAGGAACTTTGGTAACATTTATTCCTACTCATTAAAATCGCTGTTTTAACAGGAATAAAGTAAATACACCTGCACCGTCAAAATGCAAGCTCAAATAAGCTCATTTCCCGCCCGGCCACGAGCCCTGGGTATACAGAAATTATATGGTTTTCGCAAATTAAAACATGGGTTAGGAGAGATGTTCAGATGATGTTCATTTCCTCTGAATTATTGACAAACATACTGTCAATTAACTTTACACGTTTTTTGAACTTTTGTAAAGACGTCTTTCATATTTTACTCGATTAACTACAGTGTCTAAGGAGGCTTATCATTGTTATGCTCACTGGCGTTGATGCCATTTTGTGACGTGCAGATATCTTCTTTACATTTTATGGGAGTGAAAAACAGCAAATTAAACCAAACTTACCTTAAAAAGTCGTGACTGGACGTACTTTAAATTTATTACGGAACTAATCAGACTGCAAGATCGGCGATGCAAAAAGCACGTGTTGATTCAAGAAGCTGTGCGAATTGGTAGTCACCACTGCCTGACTGTGAGCACACTGCATGGCCTACATTTCTTTATATATCCCATGGTCCATTTTCTCACCGCAAATCAGTTCTACACAGGTCAGTTTGAGGAGTGAATAACTTTAATTCATAATGAAGGCGGCGGAGATTCATTTTCGCTGCCGTCTATTTGATTCTCCACTCGCAGTGCTTTCTACTCTGATCCCAATAAAAAGTGATGTGATAGTGATTATGATGATGATGTGATGTTGCGCGCATTTGGTTGTTATTTTTATGCTTTACAACAGCAAAACTCCAAGGGGCGTGCGATGTTGCAAATGAATCTACCATATTTGTGCTCGTAATCTTTACCAATGTTGCGGAATTCTTTTAACCCCGCTCCGCTGGTTCAAACAAATCAAGAGGACTGTATCTTTCGATGTAACAACACCATTTAATCCAATTCAACGATCTACTGCGATGTACAATTCTCACATATTCAACGTTCGTAACACAACGATCAACTATCAACGTAACTAAACGATCAACGATCAACTAAAACATTCTAAGTATACAGTGGTTTTTCTACTATGCTTGCGTAAGGCAGTATTTTTACATTAATCACATGTACAGTAAAAGTTCCCATTGTAATGTATCTAAATTAAGTGACTATTACAAAATCGCACGTTCTTTAACCTTATTTAGCCTAAGAAAATGCACGCAGTTACATCATTTTATATCGTAAATATACTCGGACTTTGTCAACATTATTGTGAAATCTAATGTGCGCTAATCTTTGCGCTACGTATACAAATGTCAATTTCTAATTAATATTTAATCACAAAATAATAAAGTTAGGCATCACCTTCTATCTTTCCCGACAACCAACGGGTGTTCTCGTTGTAAAGGTTTGTTAGCCTTTCTTGTTGTTACACAGTTGAAATTAAACAATGACATCGCGATGAAGTCGAATCTATCATTCTGCTCATTTTTGGTGTCAGCAGCCTTGTACCAATGTGGAGAGAAGAAAATAAGTGTAGTCCTCTCTAGAAATTTTAGTTGACCCTTGAAATGGTACTTGTTTTTACCAAAAGAAAACCTATAAAAAAGTGACTCACCCTTACCTGACGTACAGAGTACTGATAAACCCTCATGCTCAATTTTCGTCACTGTGCGTGATCCGTTACTGCCGTCGCTTTTTGTTGGAAAAGGCAAATATGAGTGGTAAAATTTAGCTCTGCGATCGACTAAGCCGTGTCACATACTCAATAATATTTCATCATAAGTAAGAAGTCTAAAGGCTTATTCACTGCAAGTATCTTTTAGTCATATCTTCCATTAAGAATTGGTTAGCATTTTGGAACCAACCCCCTTCTTGTCTAAAGCGAAGCCGATCTGGAAATTCGTCTGTTCTCACCTACATTAAATTTCATTTCGAAAATTTCTCTACAAAGCAGAGAAAAACAAGAAAAACAAAGAGATTTTTGGTAAGTGCGACCATCTGCGAGATGAACGGAATAGGCCATGATGAGCGTTGTCAACGACGATGAAGACTTACGGGAATGCTGTGTACTACTTTGTCTTGCTTATCGCTGTGCCCTCAATGCCGTGTCCTGCGTTGAAATAAAAGAACTCGTTGTCCACCGTTGTCCCGTTTGATAAATTCATGCGGCTTAAAGTAGAAGCTCAAATGGTTCTGGAGCCTAGCCTTAATGATCCTTAACCTGTAGTCTATTTGACTACGCAATAAAGGCGGGGCCTTTAGAGAAGCGCTGAAATTGAATAACTTTCCTTTATGCATGTTTGACACCAGTGACCACACGATTTTTTTCTTGATTAAAATTATTTTCATCATGCTTAACAACTTCATAATTCATCGATGGAAAGGAATCACGCATTTACTTGTAATTGCGCAAACAATATACCCGTATACCCAATAGCGCAAAATGCGTAAAAGGGGTTAGAACACCTTTCCGCTGGCCTAGCGCCTTACTTTTTAAAGGAAGGACCTGTATTTTCGCCCACTTACTTCTACTTTAGTGGTGTTTAGATTGATTGCTTTTTTGATTTTTATCTCTTACAAATTACGGTAAAATTGCTTGCTGGAACTTCTAGCAAAAAGGGAACTTTCGTAACGGGGCCACTTTCGAGATATCAGTAACTTTAAAAAATCACCGAAAAATAAGGAAACGACCATTTCACTTTGTGTTTCGCTTATTAGATTAACAATAGACTTAACTAAACTTCCACCACAATTTTGCGGATGCTGATTGGTTCAAAAGGTCACACTGACGTTTTGAGACTTTCCATTTCAAAAATGGGCTTTTTCCGAATCGTAATTCCTTTCATGGACATGAAAAGTCAAACATGTTCACGACGTTTTTTTCCCGGCCTCGATATCTCCAGTTTAAAGTGTTGTGGCCAGCGAGGGAATCGTATGGAGTATAAATGGTAAAGTAATAGATACAATTAAATGCAAAAAAGGTGTGAAAAGCATTTTAAAAAGCAGCTACGACGATGTAGGGCCCTTTTGTAATCTTTTTGTGACATCTTTGCAGCTTTTTCTCTTCTGTTTTAACGCTCGAATTTGTCTTTTTACATGCGTATGTTACTTTAAGTGAACTGTGTATAGTTTAAGTTTCACGAGTTACCACTTTAAATTGACGATGCTATTATCAAAAGGGAAAGAAGTAACAAAAGTGCCCTACTTTACCGAGAGAGAGAGAGAGAGAGAGAGAGAGAGAGAGAGAGAGAGAGAGAGAGCAAATGAACAAGGGGGACGACAGAGCGGTAGATGTGTTTCATCACAAATGTGTACGAAGAATCCTACAAATCCAGTGGTAGGGTTATCAGTCCGGAATATCCCTAAATTTAAGGACAGCGCCAACTGGTCACGCGACACTTTTCAACCAATGAGAAGGCGCCCTTTTGTTTATCAACAAACAAAACATTGCCCCAGTGATCAAAAATTTTCAAAACAACGGACGGAGTCGGACAGAATCAGTCATCGTTTCGAGGCTTTCAGGCATATTTTAAAGACTTTTCATGAGGCATACACAATTTTTTTAAGTGGACAGCGTATCGGAAGCCATATTGGAAGTGTCTCGTGAAATATTAAGCACATTTTGTGGCTTATTTCTTCTTTTATCTTTTAAACAACGTGATGTATAGGCGAGATTTTGGTCGGTTTTCAAGGTAGGTTAACAAGTATCTATTATTTTTTCGATTCACAGATTTTTTACGAAGTCCTAGATATTTTTCCTCGATTGTCATATCGATTAACTTTTATCATGTTGAATGTGGGGATAGTAGACAACCTAGAATTTTGTTTGACAATTTTTGAATTCCGAGGTCCAAAACACGTACGTTTTCCACTCCCGGGTTTCTCACAGAGCCATGTTATTACTTTTTTCGCATTAGTACGAGCCTTTGTCTTTTTTCTTTTCAAGGCCAAAACAACTTTATTAGTCTTACGGATATTCACGTCCAACATTTCGCCTCACTTTGCCGAGTCTGCAGGGATGAAATTGAAGATCATAAGTGCAAGGTAGACACTAACCACTTTGTTTCTGAAATTCACTAATCTAGAAAGATTTACCGGTAATGTTGTTGGATTCTCCAAATGTTCATCCACCGTTAAAAAACAATCAAAGAAACAAGGCAAATCTCAGTTGTAAATGATGTATTTCGCTACTCATTGAACATGCACTGATTATCTGGGATAAAATTAAAACATTGCAGGTACTACAGCCAGCAAAGAAAGCACCAGACAGGGGCACCCAACGAGAATATAGTTTAAAACCACTTAAACGTAGCACTGTTAAACGTATTTTAGTATTTAAACGGTAGATATAGGCATATTTTTATCCTCTAAAAATTTTTCATCTGTTCGGATTTCCTAGCTGAAAGCCTAGTGATCCGAAAATTATAGGGATCAAAACTTACCTTTTCGAAACTTTCAGCCAGAAAAAAGGCTCCCGAAAATTCTAGGTGACCTTTTTAGGGTAAAAATCCGTTAAACATGGGCAATTATACCATTTTTTTGATGTTCGAAAATCATAGGAGAGGCAGGCAAGCAAGAAATTTTACAACAAATGTTCCGAAAATTCTAGATCTAAAATCGTCTTCCGAACAGATATTCTTCCGAAAATTGTCGTTGAGTGCCCCTGACCAGATGCGTGAAGTCAACACGAAACAACACAAAAACAAATCAAAAAAATTAATAAATTTGAACTACTTTCTATTCTTGTTATGATGACTGATTCTTTGATTCTTGTCCGGTAGAAGTTAATAGGTAGTACCAATCCTGTTTTGTACGATCTCAACAAATGTTCACACTCTCTCTAAGGTTATTTTTACACAGGACCAGTTTGCTTCTATCAAAAATCTTGCAAGCCATGCCAGTGAAGCCACGACCTCTGCGATCGGTCCGGAATCAGTTCGAACGCCCCAATGATTCCTTGCAATACCGGAATAATGCTCTTATTCTCTTACATGAAATGTTTTCTTTGAAATATTAAATGTGAAACCTAGACGAGTACTGTAAGCTCATCTTTAATTCTGTCCGACTCCGTCCGTTGTTTTGAAAATTTTTGATCACTCGAGCGATGTTTTGATTTGTTTGTTGATAAACACAAGCGCGCCCTCTCATTGGTTGAAAAGTGTCGCGTGACCAGTTGGCCCTGTCCTTAAATTTAGAGGGATATTCCGGACTGGTTATGTCAGTACTGAAGAGCCACTAGAAAGAGTAGACATGTAAAGAGGTGAAAGAGCGTAAATGATGGGACATATACTTAAACAGGACCAAAAATGAACAGCAACTGCAACACAGCAATGTCTTGGGTACCAGAAGGAAAAGGAAGAAGAGGAAGACCAAAGACCACCTGGAGGCGAACGGTTGAAAAGGAAAGAAAGAAAGCAGCATGGGAATTATGGGACGAAGTGAGGACCATAGCAGCCAACCGAAAAAAGTGGAAAGACTCTGTGAAGGCGTTATGTGCCAAGAGTCACGAAGAGGATGGGTGAGGTGAGGTGCCACAAGTTGACCTCCGAGATGAGTTTAACGTTACAAAAGCTGTAAGGCGAGTGGAAGACGCTTTTTAGGTCGCCAGGCGAGCAACAAAATCGTGACAAGTCTTTTTTAGAGAAAACAAGACGCTATGGGAGCGTTCAATTTGGACCCGTGGTTGAGGAATTATTTGTGAATGCGGAGGAATAGTAACAGATGATATTTTCCGGATACCCTTCCGAACAAATACCCTTACTTTTCTCCTTTGAGTAACAAAACGTCTTAACTTCTTCACCGGAAGTCGTCTAGGTGCATGACCGCGTTTCGATTATAATTTCTGTCATAAATAAATTGCACACAACGAGATCACAGTTCCACTTCCCTTATTTCCTCTACAACAACACTTTCTTTATGTACAGTTAACTGTACACCTTCTCCAGCAACGTAACTAACATCAGTACACTTCTTTACAAAACTTGCTGGAAATTCACGATCTCCACACCGAGGACAATTCATATACAACATCGCAACATAAGCTTTAATAAATTATTACATGAAAAGTAATAACACGCGATACAAAAACAAGCATAAAAACACCTACTCTCCCAAGCAGAACTAAAAGAAGAACAGTGAACGTTACAAAACCACGGTAACTGCGTTTTGCTTCTCCTTGCTTGTTGACAATCTATCGCTCAGTCCGAAACGCTTCGTCTAAACGCAGCGCAAATGACCTTGCCACTTCCTCGATCTTCCTCTTTCGAATCACTCTTGCGGCAATAATTTCCAGTTATAACTGTTCTCGTTATACACATTTCTGTCCCCCAAATTTTTTCCATGAAGGCATGTAACCTGTGTAATCTTGACTTTCTTAAGACCGATTTCGAGATATCTCGAACAACTTCCGGCCTCACTTCGGAAGCAAACTGTAAGTCTACAATATTCTTCAGCGTCGCGAATCCTTTAATACTTTGCGCTCCGCCTCAAATATTTATGGTAGCCGAAAGAACTAGAAGTAATCTCGCAATATCTCCAACTCATTCCGGTGTACGTTAAATACCCAACAAGCCGACAAGTAACAACTCTTTTCCCGTACGTCGTGCATAACTTATGGCTATTTTTCACATCTCAAATTAATTACCTTGCGTCGCAGTAGCGCAACCGTTATTCTCATCCTTCGTCCTGTATTACCTGAAATTGTCCGTTAATAATAGTTTAGTGTTATAGTTGAATTTTGTTGGCTCACAAAAAACCCACGCGTGCATTCGCCACCTTCGGAAAACATCGATAAACTGATTTTTTTCGCACTCTGCTGAACGTAACTCAGTCCACCTCTGATAAAGGTTATTTTTGTGTGCTACTGATAAAGAAGGCTTCTCCACTGGTAAACGATGCTTTTTAGTGCAGTTTACTGATGGGGTCGGCGAGAAGGAGAGGAACTCCACCAAAATCAGCCAGTTAAACTTACAAGGTTTATTTTACTTACTCGCAAGGCGGTTCTACATAGTTCCTGATGTTCTTCTCTTTCTCTATCCTATCTATAACTGCTTACCCTTTCTTCCTTCTGTTCCTTAGCAGCTCGCCATTTATTTGTTTTTGGTCGTTGACCATATGTCTACATATATAATAATGCGTAGGATGTATCTGCCAACAAAAACGAGCCACAAAACCCTAACTAGCTAAGTTAATTACTAAAAAGGTCGAAATATTCATTTAAAAGATAACTATCTTCCGAGGGATGTCAAATTTGGAGACAAGATGTCCCACTCTCACAAAGCACTTTGTTAATATTTGCTTTCTGCATGCAATGCTTATTAGTAAATTGGTTATTCATTATGTTTCATTTTTAAAGGAAAACACTTAGAATGCTCTAGGACCTTAAAAGCCTATATTGATCGGATATTTATCAAACTTTCATTAACTTTCCATATATCTTCAAAATCGGGAAGATAAGTCCTGTAACAACATGATCATTCGAGAACAGCTCTATTGTTCATTTTCATCTAAATAACCCAGGCGGGTATAGTTACAAATTTGGGTTGTTTTAATTTCGGACTGCATGGTCTTCGTTATAATTTGTAACAAAGCTTGTCTTCATTGAAAACGAGGTGAGCTTTTAAGGAAGACAACCGTTCGCAGACTCGAGGTAACTGCAGCCTAACTTTGCTAGGCTATCAATACAACTGAAAGTAAACTAGTTTTTTTTCGCTTTGTACTATTCATCTTTTATCCCAGGAGTCCCTGCTGCAGCGGAGATCACAGATTTACCGGCTGAAACAAAGGATGTTGTAATCACCTTAAAATGGAAAGAGGCTGAAAACAATGGGGCCCCTATAACCCAGTACACTGTGTACCGAAGAACTGTCCGTGAGGATGGCACATCACTGAATTGGATCAAAATAAAGGAAATTACAGAAACGTCAGATCGAAAAGTTGTTTTTAACTTGGAAAAAGGCAAAGAATATGAATTGGTAGTTACTGCTACAAACAGTTTTGGAGAAGGAGGGAAAGAAGAGGGAAAAATCAAGAAAATCAAGGTGTTGGGAGGTAGGTGTATTCTGGCCCAGGTATCTCAGTAACTCTCTTTACACTCTGTATATTTTTCCTTTTTTTAAATCAGTTTCCACCATAAAAGTGTAATGTGTCAGGCATTGGACTCCATCCAATGGTTGTATAATGCGTAGCATCCGTTTGTTGATAAGTGACTCTACATAACCTTCGCACAGCGTAACCCTGTGTACACCCAAAACAAAGGGGAACGTGTGTATTAGTTATTATTAAAAACTGAATCATTGGATAATGCAGTTGTAGAGCTCTGCTTGACTTAGCCATCATGGTATATGAACCATTGGTATATACACACTCAGTGAACTTGGTGATTTAAGCAATCTGATTGGTTCGCTATCTCGAACTTTTCAACAATATTCACCTCCCACGAATGGATAATGTGTGAGCTCGGTGTTTTTCCCAATTTTAAGAAAACGATCTTTTAAAAGTCAACAGAATCCTATCGTTGACTTTTTTAAAGACAAGAAACGTTTAGAAGGATTCAAAACGGCGTTTTTCCAGTTACTGTAGCTGAGTTGTGCTCTATGGATTGTTTACAACTCCCGTTTATTCGCGTACAAGAGGCCGTTTCCTGGACTCTACAGCGTTTCCTAACAAGAAAAATTTGGCCCAAAAAGCGAAGTTTATTTATGACAAACAAATCTGAAAGAAACCGTTTGCAGAAATTCTATCTCTCAAGTAAATAGGAAACAGAATGCTACAGGAAGACGACGTCTTACCACGAGCAACGGAGCCGCCATTTTTGTCAGCACTTCTTGCGAAGAGCAACACAACCAACCTTTTTGGCTATAAACTTGGCGAGTCAACAGAAAACAACAAAGCCCTACTTTTCTTTTCAGGTAAAGAAACAATTCAAACTCCTAACGGTTCCATTTAGGCCATTACGCTGTTGTGTACGAAGTGATAAACTTGTGAATTGCCATGTTTGTAGACTGCAAAACAGTCCGTATTTTTGCGTATTCAAGTACGCGCGAGCAGTCAAACAAAAGTTGTGGAACGAGGCTGAAAACAGAGAGCGAGACTGGTGAAAGACGCTAAAAAATACGGACTGTCCGTTTTGCATACGTTATATTCGTTCGAATTACCCGCTTCTCCCAGCCACGGGCAATTCCCATTGGCTAAATTTCGATGCAAGCTGTCACCAAGCTGTCAAGTAATGTTTTCAACAAGTCATTCGGGATATTCCCTGCCGAAATGAATTGCTAAAGCTTTCGCCGTAAAATGATGGATCGGCCGGATATGCTCGCAAGAATTGGGATTTGTTTTAAAATCGGAGCAGAGGGAAGCTCTGGAGTTACTGCTCAGGAGAAAGGATGTTTTCTGTGTTCTACCAACAGAATTTGACAAAAGCCTCATTTATCAGATGTGGTTCATGCAAAGAGTTCGTCAAGTTCTGTTCAACGGCCGACCGTCATTGTTATCTTGCCTGGCTAAAAAAGGGGGATCGGTAGGAAACACACGACTTTCACCTCACGCAAAAATGCTGCTTGTTCCAATGGATTGTTTTCTCTGTCGAGTAGATTATGCTTTGGAGGAAAACGTTTTGACTGTAGCCTGAATTTCATCCGATTACTTCGAGTCGTTATTACTCCCTCAGTAACGTCTGAATCGACCAGCCGTTAATGCCGTCCAGTGACGTCACTACTCCTTGACCTTTGCTTTAATTCATGCAAAAAGCAAAACACGATTTTCAAGTGGCAAACCGAGAAATATCGTTTGGAAAAGTCTCCGTGGTACAGAACTGCTTTATTTTTTTCGATTGTAATTCATGTTTAACGTTCAAACTATCAACTGCATGCGGTACAACTCTGGACCGGTTGTACTAAATTCTATAATCAAACTCGGTCGCAATCACGCAATGAAATAAACACACACACGGAACACTTAGTTCAAAAACACAATGATTTGCTTTAATTGAAAAGAAGCTATTTGGTCCTTAGCGAAGAAAAAAAACAAGGAGACAAGAAAGAAAAGCTAACAGAATCATCACACTTGACGGTAAAAATAGCAAGAAGGTCGAATTATAACATTGATCTCAGAAAACTTCGCGTAAACAAAATCACCGGCCGCCGAAACCACAAAGCGGCTCTGAATGAAAAACCTACCGACTCTCCGCAATGATTCTTCATTCGCAGTTCAATTTAGCATTTCAGTTTCGAAGACAAGGGCAGTTTTGCTGTTTAAGATAAAGATTAAGCTTATAGGAATGTTTGAACTAACCGAAAGAATGCCAGGGACGTGATCCGCTGAATATCAAATGACAATCCCGCTAAAATTTTTCATAATTATACATAATTATGCGAATGTTTAGACAATCAACCAATCAAAATCACTACCCGGTTTTCGGGTAGTGAGTGACGTCACTGGACGGCATTAACGGCCGGTCGATTCAGACGTTGTTGAGAGGAGAAAACGACTCGAAGCAATCGGATGAATTTCAGGCTATTTTGACTGTGCAATCGAGAATTTTGGCCGCTTATTAAATATATTTCATACTGACAGGTCGTGACACGCATATTGATTTTCTCTGGTCGGCATGATTTGCCCTCTGATGCAACAGCATTTTCTTTCTTGGCCCCTTTAGAAATGTAAAGCTCTTCATTGCGGCTGATTAAGGGTTTTAGGTTGTTTTATTTCTCCAAAGTGCCTCCTGGATTTGAATAATTTTAAGCGATTTTTTTTATGTCCGTGAATGTGACTATTTCCTGCAATGTTTTGTCACGCTGGGCCCAGCTCGTTAGGGTTTTTAGCAGGATTTTAAATTCTCACAGATAGTGATTTACAGAGCTAAATCACCAAGACGTGGATTGGAATGAGGGGATTTACTCATTCTTTTCAATCGCAATAATTGTTCATTGTCAGTTGGCGTGTTCAGTTCTTCTCTAATTTGCGAAAGCATCGCCGTGCAGTTTCCCGGGGTAGTTTCTAACCTTTGTTCCGCACGAGGAGAAAACTCTTGTGGAGAGAGATTCTCCTTCCTTGGGGACAACGAACTTTTCTTTTTTTTGTAGGTCGGCCCACTTTGGTAACGTTTCTCCTTTTCTGGTAGGCGCAACAAACACATTTTCCGAGCTTATCCATCCACTCGTAAAATTGCCGAACTGTGTTTTGAAACAACAGCCGCACATTCTACAATTTATCCGAAGCGCTTGGCACTTTCGGCTTTCTCCCTCTTCGAGGAGCAGGCAGGCTTTGTTGTTGTACTGCCACTTCGACTCATTTTTGATCCTCCACTATATATACTACATTTCACAGAGAAGCAACGCCAAAAAATGCTTTAGAATTACCGGATTACAGCGTCAAGATTCGAAGCCAAGAGCAGACAATAACACGCGGTATTCTCCCTTGAAATCAATCACCGAGTGTATCGATTTCATAAAGAGGGCGGGGTTGTGAACAGATTTTTGACAGCCCGACGACATTTTTGAACCCCCTGGTCGGAACGAACTCATTGTATGGAAAACGGACAGTCGGTTTTTTCTCTCTCGCCTCACACGCCCTACGGGCGTGTGAGGCTCGCGCGGTTCGCGCGCATAAGACTCTTACGCCACGCGTTACCGACTTCTTTACTGATTTTGAGGAAAAAACCGACTGTTTTGCAGTCTACCATGTTTGAAAATTCTGCAAAGATCTATTTTTAAACTTTCGCGTGACTTGATCCGTCAATCAAATCGTACTTTTTAATGGTTTCCTCTCTGATTTTGTTGAGATCACTTCGTGTGTATATACTAAACAATAATAAAAAAAAATAAACTAAACTAAACGTGCTTTGCTACATACCTGTACTTACATGTTTGTCGATCATTAGTCTTAAGTCTTAAAGCTGTGGATTATATTGCGTCGCGTTCCAAGTGAATCTGTTGATTGCTTTCGACGCGACTTTATTACCCGATAAAGTCGTGTCAAATGACGAAGGAATGTTATTGACAATGAATCGTTTACTCTCAGATGAAAGGTAAAATTAGTTTAAAGGCCGTTTCTCATTTGTTTGCGTGTTTTTATATCAAGCTTCTGATAATCACGCAATAAGTATTTAAAAAATGTTTTGACCTAACAATATTTATAACTTTTGTGTGTTTGCGTCAAGCTTTACAACAAGTTAACCTACCTATCCAAACTGATCTGTAAAATACCATTGAAAGCTTTCTACAAAAGAGTATGAAAGCACACTAATCTTTGTTCAGGAAAAACGTTTTGATAGAAGTGAAGGACTAAATAACACATTAAGACAGTATTAAGCGTTTATAATAGCGTAGCCATAGTAATAGGCAGAGCCAAATACGGGCAGACATTTTATTCACAACTGGCTAAGCATTACCATAGCCTTAATTGTACCGTCTCAAATTGGAATTTGATTTTTAACATCAGCTAAGCGTAAAAAAGTGGTACTCCAGTTACTTAAGGAGGAACGAGTAAAAATATTGAAAGGAAAATTAACAGCTCTGTGACATTTCTTTGTGCGTAAGGTGTCCCGTCAGCAGTGGCCTTCACATACGAATTAAATGTTGACCAAATAACCTTGAAGTGGGAGGAACCAAACAACAACGGAGCAGAAATCACAGTGTATACTGTGTACTATGGAACCCAAAGTGATGAGCAGTGGCAGGAGACTGAAAAGATAACGGATGTCTCAGTACGTAAATATGTTGTGAAAGTCGAAATGGGCCGGAAGTATAAAGTACTAGTAACAGCAAGCAACAAGTATGGAGAGAGTTCCAAGGAAGGCAAGATAAAACGTGTTGACGTACCGGAAGGTGAGTTTAGCCCAAGTTTACCGAGTAAGTGCTCAAGAAAATACTGATAGGTCAATTTTGTGTACTGTATATTCATATGGCACCTTGACATTAAGCGACGTCATTTTTTTTAGCCACATTTTTATTCCGTAATCAATAGTTAGTTTCTACATATATGAATAACAGACTGTTTCTTCCTTGATCATACAGTCAAATCTCTTTAATACGGACACCAAACGGACAGAACCAATTGCCTGCTTTACAGAGGTGTCCGTATTATAGAGGTAGGGAAAGTATGATTTTTGGCATTTCTAGGACCAAACGAACAATCCGTAAGAGAGAGGTGTCCATAAGGAGAGGTTAGACCGTATTTCAAAACAAAGCCAAACCAAGTGCAACAAACGCTGTGGTCCTTTGACAGAGGTGAACTTTTCTCGTGGTGGCAAAAAGCAATTCAGTGCTACCACTCCACTGACTCCATTCTTTTACTACTGGATGCTTGACGGAGGTTGAACTGCAACTCTTAAAATTTCTTATCATTCTCTCAGCTGTATAATATTGAATAGACCTTTGACCTTTCAGAACGCCGTTCCTATACAAATCTTAAGTATCCTTATACTAAACTGCTGGGTAGTTTTAATTGCCTGTCTTACTAAAATATACTTAATATACAATTATGTTTTTTTAGGTTCGAAGCCAAGCGCACAGCCCAAGACGAGTAGTATGAATACAGCTGTCATTGCCGGAGCAGCAGCGGTGGGCGTCCTTGTCATTGTTGGTGTAATTATTTCTGCTATTTGGTGGAAGCGAAGGAAAAGTTCTTCGGATGGTGTGTTACATTAAATAGCATTCCCGAAATGTATAGAGAATATACTTCATGGAAAGTGCTGGCGTACGGTATTTACACACGAGTTGTTGACGTATCAAAAATCGAACTTGTGAGCGCAGCGAACGAGTGAGATATTCTGATACAAAAACAACGAGTAGGTAAATACCGTACGAAGCACTTTACATGTCGTATTGTGTTTATTATATACATACTGAGACATCCATCATTTTGGTATCAGTATCAGCTTTTTAGTAGAAACGTTTCTTAAAAACATAAATGACGGTGAGGATATGAGGTAATCCAAGAACTACAAGTAATCTCAACTGTTTGTTCTGAATGTACAATTGAAAATGAGTGAATTTAAGTTAAATTGCTGGTTTCAATATATTAAAGCGTACGCTTATAAATGGAAGACAAAGTAGCTCCGACAAAAAGCACAACATAAGCTTATGTCTTGTTCTGTTTTTTCCCCTTTCGCTGTTGTTTCGCCGGCTCTCCACAGTTTTCTTTATCGACAGTGAAACAAACGAAACTATTCCACTCCATTTCTGAAATGTTTTTCACTTTTTTTACGAGAAAAACTCTTTGAGAAAAACTGAGCGGCGCTCAGCAAGCTGCAAGAAAAGGCGGGAATTTTGGCGCGAAACTCACACACCTCTGTGGCTTCTGATTGGACGTATCATTTTTCTCACATGTGAAAAAACATTGTTCGCGATTCTGATTGGACGTATCATTTTTTTCACGTGTGAAAACCATAGTTCACTCCTCTGATTGGCTAGAACTCATTTGCGTATCAAAATTTACAACACAACTTTTTGGTGAGTATTTCTCAGTATGTATATAATAAACTATTTTACTCTTCGATGTGCATGCTTACATTAATCTCTGGCCTTACTAGTTTGCAGTATGTATGTTTCCAGTATGTAAGATGACTTTAAGTTTTTGACGTAATATATCAAGCATGAGACGCAGTTTTTCATCACTAGATGAAACACTGAGAAAAGAGGTGAAAATACGACGCGCAGTGACGAACTTCGAGGTATTTCATCTAGCGATGAAACACTGTGTCAAATGCTTAATATTACTTCTCAAACGAAATGACTTTAGAAGGAGAAATCAAGGATGCAAAAAAGGCCAGTTTTTCATCTTATTTCCAAACACTAATTAAAAATTCACTTCGTTTGGGTTTTCTTTATGAAGTATTAATGAATTTGAGACGTGAGGTGTGTACCGAGAGAGATCTGAAGACGAAGCTAATCCTGCCAAAAACTGATGCTCTTTTTCCTTTTTTTTTATGTTACCAAGATTTTTCGAGTTGTGTGTCCACATATGTGTTAGCATGTTGTTTGGTAGTGATGCACCTCTATCGTTCAACCCTTTAGTGGTGGCGGAGCTGGGGCGTGGGGATACCTCCAACGTCACAGTCAATTAGAAATGCCCCTATTTAAACAAAACGTTTACCTTAGCAAAGTTCCTTGTTGAAACCTTTCAGAATCAGAGTAAAACATGGGCCACTGAAAGGAATATTTTCACTTGGCCCATCAAGAGTCAGTTTCGGTTTATGGTATTGCATTGTTCAACTACTTTTGCCATTATTTTTCTGTTTTTCGCCTTCGTTATTTAGTAATGTTTTTTTTTTTTTTTTTTTTTTTTTTTTTTTTATTAACAGAGATCTTTATTACCACTACATCACTTACAACACTTTCACTACAAAATTTAAGGTTACAAAAAAATTACAATTAAGAATTAAGATTCCAACGATTAATACAACATACACTGCAACCAGGCTTGCTTCACGCATACGTAGATTAGATTATAATCATTTACAGTAAGGAGAGGAGAGGCTTCCATTGTGAAAGAAATTTTGCTTTTTGTCCTTTGGAATAAAAAATCGATCTTTGCACAATTAACTTGTCTTTAACGAATTCAAGAAAGTGATCAAAGCTTGGGGGTTTAATTTCGCTCCTTTGCAGGAAGATATGTCTCTTGCCAAGAAGGATATAATAGTTAAGGATTTGCCTTTTAGGATCTTCGGGATTATAGCCATACATTATACTTAAGTTATCAAATAGCAAACATTCACCACTGTGAGTTTTCCACCAGCTAATTACTTCAAACCAAAACTTTTGAATTACTATACAGTTAACTAGCATATGGGAGAGCGTTTCTAGGGAATCACAATGTATGCAGAGAGGAGAGTTTACGATTTTCATTCTGTGTAACAGAACCCCATGTGGAAGAATATTATGAACAATCTTATATTGAAATATGCTTAATTTTGTTTCTTTAGTTATTTTAAATGGAAGCATATAAATAGAACTAAGTTTGGAACTGTCCAATCCTTGCCTGCATAGTCAAAGGCTAGCCAACGGTTCTACAAATTTCCTTTGAATAAGTATATTGCGAACCTTCTTGCTAGTAACCACGTTAATTTCCTTAGTTGTATTTTGTTCCATATCTTGAATGTTCATGATAAATCCCGGTCTCAAAGCGCACTTCCATCTATAAGGTATAGCTGATATTAAACCAAAAAACTTAGTAAAAGGCGCCTTGAGGCCAGTTTTTGAAAGAAAATTATTAAGTGTGAGGAATCTGTTTTTTTCATCTAGTAGGTCTTTAATTCTAAGTATACCAGCTTCATGCCATTCTTTCCAATATACTGATTTACCGTCTATCAAAATATGCTTATTATTCCATAAGATTACATTCTCAACACAGATTTCATTGTCCGAAGTTTGCTCTCGGACTTCCGCCCAGGTGTTAAGAACATCAGCGTAAAATATTGGTAAGTTGTTTAGGCCTAGAAATTTTACATCATAATCACAATCAAAAATAAATGGCCCTCCAACATTTTTCAAATAAAATAAAGGAATTAACATCCACTGATCCTCTACACCATTCTTCATTCTTTGAACCCAAGCACTTTGTAACGACTTGGATATAGTCTCAAATTCTGGTAAATCCAGCCCTCCTCTTTCTTTTGGACCTATAAGAGTATCCCTTTTTATCTTTGGTTTCTTGTTATTCCAGACAAAATCTGTAATCAATCTATTAGTGATATCTATATAATGAGGCGGTGTATGTATGCACGAACTTACAAAGATAAGTTTCGATAGCCCTAATGTTTTGGCGATTGTTATCTTGCCATAAAGTGAGAGATCTCTTTGAGACCATATATTAAACAGCTTTTGAATTTTACATATCTTTTGTGAAAAATTTTCCTGTTCGCAAAGTTTTAGATTGTAAGAGAATGATATCCCTAAGGCGGAGATAGGCCTTTGTGGCCACTGAACTCCAAATAGTGTATCAGTCCTATTTGCGTTTTTTTCCAAGCCACATTGCTTCAGATTTACTTTGGTTAAGCTTTTAAACCGCTGCAATCTTTAAATAGGTCTAATAACTCTAACAGTTTCCCAAGCGACTCTTTATCTTTGCAAAAGGAGGTGGTGTCATCGGCATATTGAGATAATTTTATTTCTTTGTTTAGGACTCGAATTCCCTTTATATGTTCATCAGCTCTTATTGAGCAAGACAGCAATTCTGCGGCTAAAATGAACAACAAGCCAGACAAAGGGCAGCCTTGTCTTACTCCTCTCTTTAAAGTAAATGACTCGGAGGCGAAGCCGTTGTTTATTATGCAGCTAGAAATGTTTGTGTACAGAGTTTTCACCCAAGTCTTAAAGTCGGGTCCAAATTGAAAGGTATCTAGAGCTTTAAATAGGTACTCCCATTCTAAACTATCGAATGCTTTTTCAAAATCGATGAATAAAGCAATTCCCTCTATGTCCTGGTCAACGGTGAAATTGAGGATGTCGCTTATAAGTCTGATGTTTTCACCGATAAATCTTCCCTCTACGTAACCAGTTTGTGTGTTATTTATAACTGCCGATAGAACCTTTTTTAGTCTGAGAGCTAAAGCTTTAGAGGCAATCTTATAATCCACATTTAAAAGTGAAATAGGTCTCCAATTTTTAAGATACAATAAATTTTTTTTTTTTTTTGGAATAAGACGTATGATGCTTTGTCTTTGAGAAATTGACAGCTCACCTTTATGGAATCCATAATTAAAACTGTTTACCATTATCTTGCCTAATTGACTCCAGAAGAAGCTGTAAAATTCGGCAGTAAAACCGTCATTGCCAGGGATTTGTTTTTTTTGGAAACATTTTAAAGCATTCCAGCACTCATTCTCCGTCAGCAAGCCTTCGCAGTTCTTTCTTTGTTCATCATTCAGCTTTTCTACCTTGTCATTATCGAAGAACACTTTGAATTTAGGATCGTTTACTTGAGGATTTTGCGAGGAATATAAGGATTGATAAAATCTTTTTTGTTCTTTTAGGATTTCCTTTGGGTCCGTGATACTACTTCCGTTTTCTTGTATAAGGCTGGTAATGCATTTATTTTCATAATTTCGTCTCTCAAGATTAAGAAAATATTTCGAACTTCGTTCGCCGAACTCATGCCAACGGGCCTTGGAGCGCACAGATGCTCCTCTTGCCCGGTCGTAGGAAATCTTATCCAATTCGTTCTTAACTTTAATGTATCTCTGGACGGCTTCTGCTGATGGGCAGTTTTCACCCATATTTCCCAGTCTTGAGACTTCCTGTACGAGATCTTTTTCATAATCTTTTTTCATTTTAGCTTTTTGTTTTGAATAACTAATTGTGAACGCCCTTATTTCCATTTTAATCAACTCCCATAAGAGTCCGTGATCTTCAAGATCCTGATACTTGTTTATAAAGTGCGGAATTTTAAACATTAATTTTTCTGCATATTCATCATCTTCTAAGAGGGAGGAATTGAATTTCCAGAATCCAGGTCCTCTTTGGTATTTCTCATTAATTGGCAATTCCAACGTCACTAAAGAGTGATCGCAATGTGCAGCGTGCTTGATTTCACATTTCTGCACGGGGGAATTTTGTAATAGTTGACGGGCTATTAGCCAATAATCTAATCTGCATTTTATTTTCAAGTCAGATGTTCGCCAAGTAAATTGTTTTTCTTCTGGATGTAGCGTTCTCCATACGTCGTCTAAATCTAAAATACACATCAGTTGCTCGATCTCGCTGGCGACATTCCTTCTTGACGAAACATCACGTCCTCCTTCTTTATCGGTTTTGGAAAGAGGGCAATTAAAATCGCCACCTACTATAATGTTGTCGTTGGGAAACTGTTTAAGTAAAGATCTGAGTTGTTTAAAAAATATAATTTGCGCGTTATCATTATTGGGTGCGTAAATATTGGCACAAATAAATTTCTGATCATCTATAGAAAACTGCAGGATAAGAATCCTGCCGTTTTCACAACAAATTTCATTTTCTACTAGCACTTTGAGTCGAGGATTAAACAGAATTGCTACTCCTTTGCTGTGTTTACTTCCATGACAGAAGTACACTTTACTACCCCACTCGTTACTCCATAATTTTTCTTGGTCAGTAGAACTATATGTCTCTTGCAAGAAAATTATTGAGTACTTGTTAACGTGCAGTTGCCGAAAAATAGCTCTTCGTTTTCTTGAACTATTTAAACCCCTAACATTTAACGTAATAAAAGTTAACTTATTCATATTAACGAATAAATATCGATATCTTAATAGTTTCACAATACAGAAGCCTTCTTAAGCTAAAGCCTGGAGAAAACATTGCATCACTTACAACATAAAAACGAAAATTACCTTTTATGACACAAATTAAAGGCATTGCCTGTGAAGTTCTTTTAACTCCAACAATGGGTAGAATGTGAGATTAAAGTTGTTGTTGGTCAGTATCACTCCGACGGCGTTGCTAGGTTAACTCTTTGCCTCTTCCATTTCATGGCGTAGTTTTGCTAGTTCTTCTGTTCCTACGATTCTGTGACGGCCATTGGCATCGACATATTTGAGTATTGCAGGATATGCGATGTAGACTTTCCGGTCGTCTCCGAGTTTCTTCTTTAGAAACTTTCTGTAGGGCACGAGCTCTTGCCTCCGCCGTTGGGTTTTTTTGGCAAAATCCTCACTTATACCAATGGCATTTCCGTTTAACGGGTTATCCTTTAGACGAGCGGCGGCATTCCTTAGTACCTTCATCTTATCCGTGTATCGAAGAAAAGCGACGTGCATTGGTCTGGGACCCTTCTCACCAGCAGAAGGCGTTTTGCTTGGCGTGCGGTGTGCCCTCTCCAGCTCAACATGGCCACATAACGTTTCAAGGCCCATATGCTGCGTAATAAAATCCTGTACAAAAGAGATGCAATCTCCTTTTTCGGCTTTCTCTGGTATATTGTAAAAGACTAAGTTGTTCCTTCTTGACCTGTTTTGTAATTCTTCGATTTCATCCTTCAGCGCATCGACAGTGGCGTTATCTGCTTTTAAGTCTAAATCCGTTTTTACCTTCTGCAGTTCTGCTGTCATAGAGTTAAGTCCTCTTTCCATGTCACCTACGGTATTTTCAATCTTCAGCAGTCTTCCGTTTATTTGTTCAAGCACGTCTAGCTTCTTTAGCTTTTCGTGTATGCTTTCCAAGATGGCGGCGCCGGCCTCATGTTTATGTGGTGGCGTTCTTTCATCTTCACTGCTTAAGCATGCCTGTTGTCTCGCTCGCTTTTCGTTGGGCATAACGGAAAGGAAAAGCAAAGATTCTCTGAATAGTTTGAGGCTGATTTGGCTAATTTCCTGAAACTGATATAGTGAAACGGCAAGGCAGCGTCGGAGCGACAAAAAAACACGACTACTCCATTTGGCGCCCAGTCCCAGTTATTTAGTAATGTTACTTTCCCTTATTTCTCCGAGGATAACAGTCCATTAAACTAGTATATCTGTCTTTTTTCTTCTTTCAGATGCATCACCGTCTTCAAGTGCTTTGTGAGTATTACATTCAGTACAATAGTGATAATGATTTCTTTTTCTCATTCTAACGCCAAACATCGCTTCCGTTCTTTCAACTTCCTTGAAAACAAAAAGTGTTTGGTCCTTTATTATTTTTTGCAAGGTAAGGGGTTGCTAATTGATCGTAATTCTACCGCCTTTACTTCGTATTAGTCACTCAGATCTGTGTTATTAAATGCTATTTCTTATAGGCGCGGTGACAATCCCTACGAGCTAGATGATGGTTACCAGGACGTCAGTGCATCAGTTGCCGCCCAGGAGCTGCAGGCTGAGGCAGGTCCTGTGGCAGAAGCAGACTATGCACAAGTGGATATGTCTAAAAAGAAAAGAAGCAGGCGACCAGTGACTGATGAGTATGCACAGGTGGACAAGTCTAAAAAGTCAAAGAAACCCAGAAAGGTACATATGTAAGATATTTGAAAAAATATTTTTATATTTTTACCTCTCCCTTTTGGGGGCTCTCAGGGATAATGTATGCAACAGAGTTTTACAGATTCTAATGGAGACAAACCAGTTGGCTACTTTCAAGCGTGGACAAGTGGTTGAACTACGGCAAAGAAATCCAGCTAGCGATTGCTTTTGAATTCGGGATCACCTGAATGCAAGCCCAGCGCTCTACCATCTAGGCCACGCTTCCTCCTATACTACATTACAATAGCACCTTTTTCCCGAGTTTGAAGGCGGGGGTTTCATTGGCCCCCACTGCATCAGAATGTTACACAGAGAGTAAACATTCCAACTACAATACAAATGATATTTCGTTGCACCAATTTTCTTGTGAGAGCAGTTAACACAATGTAGAGAAATATTCTTCAACACCAATAAAATCTTTAAAGTTACGCAGAGCATTTAGAGCCCATTCGGATCCCCTCATAAGTGACGTTTGCTTTTATTCGTCGTTTTGATGAGGCTGCAAAATTGTTCTACCAGTTGGGGGAAGGTAGTAGCCTTGATCACGGTTCATTGCCGGTCGCCTTGTATGAATTTTTATGGTCTCAAGAATCTTGCGTGGAATACATGTGGTTCTCTTGGCCAACAATTTTCACACTGGCCCAGTCGATGGAGTTCAGACACAGAACAGAGGTTTTGAGATCACAGAGTTGCGATCAATGATACAATTTTGCAGCCTCAACAAAATGAGGCTGCGGACAACAGCAAACGTCACTGATGACGGGATCCGAGTGGGTTTCGAAAGCTCTGCGTAACTTTCAAGAATTTGTTAGTGTTGAAGAACCGTTCTCTATAATATTATGTCCCAACAGCTAAATCTTCATTTTGTCAGCTAGTGGATTCATTTCAAGCCAAGTGTTTTGATGGTGTTCCGTTTGTTGATCTTTAAAAGTAGCAGTGTTCTATTTTTTTTTTTGTTTGCGTTTTAGTGTCACTAAAATAAAAGGAGAAAGAATTTTATTGTTGAATACAACCATGCGTACAACAGATTAACAGCGACGCATGACGAGAGAAAGGTCACGCGGTCAATCTTGCAGAAAGCAAGATAATTTACTATCGAGAAATCATTCTGTCATCATAATGAACGATGAGAAATTACGCTAAGACCTACTTCTCCTCCGTACCTCATCCTTAAAGCGGCGAAAATTTCCCGAAACTTTGGGCAAAATTCATGTTTTCATAACACAGACCGAAAACAATGACCCCGAAATAGGCGCAAGGCACGCTGGGAAGATGGTTATATCCTCTTTTGTTGAATACCATCCTTTTTTATGTTTTCAGCAACCCGGTGAGCTGGACTACGCGGAACTTGATGACTTTAGACCCAGTGTCCAGCCTGCTGCTGCTGCCGAAGCTGCACCTGCTCGGCCCTTGATCCGTCGACCAGTTTATGAGGGGACTGAGTACGCAGATATTACACAGTTTGGTGTGCCTCAGCCTGAACCAACGTATGGTAACATACCAAAGAAGGATGTGGTGTACTCCAACGTACAGGGTATATAAACTGTGATTGATAAATTACAAATGATGACAGGAAGTTTTAAAAAGCTTGCATCCAAGCTTTAATAGTGACAGAAATTCGAAGAGAATTGGGACTGAAAATTTTGTTTTTCCTCAGTCTCGATTCTGTGTTGATCTATGTTACTAAATGAGCTTACTGTTTTTGGTTTTGTGTTGTTTTATTGTAATATCACTTTTCTTTTTGCTTGGTTCTAGGACTACATTAGCACAATTTCGTCAAGTGAAAAATTAGAGTAGGTAAAAAGGTTTAAAGCATATTTTTGTTAAACTTATATATCTATACCACATACTTAGAGAAAGTAAATTAAAGATTTATTTTTCAGTTAGATTCTTTTTATCCAGTGAAATTAAAATAAGATTTTATAATAAAGCAAATTTTTTGTACTTAAATTTAAGAATCTTTTTAAAATCGGAAACTAACGTCTTCTGAATTAAACGTACATGTTGGGTACCAGAATTTCACAGGTAGAGAGTTTAAGCTCCCCACAATTTTTTTAGAGCACAGCCTTGCATAAGCTAGAGATAAATGTGAGTGTTGTGTCTTTGTTGGGGAACAAATACCGTAAGGTTATCATCGGTGAGCGTTAAATTAAACTGAAATTTTTATTTCCTAATATTGTTTCTTTCAACTTAAAAATGGCTAATTTTGGCTTTTTCCAAGTTTTATCGATTAAAAAGGCGTGAAAAAAGTAGTTAACTGTCCTTAAGATGTATTTGCAAGAAAGAAAACGCAGTAAAATGTTCCATGTTTCTTTTTTCTTTTATTGAGAAGCATTTGTAAATGCAGTAAATCTATATTCACTGGGCGAAGCTAAAGGCGAGATGAAAAAAAGGCAGCTTGAAAAAAAAGGTATTTTCTTTTCCACCTGTACTTGTTAGTGTTACTGGAACAGTCCCCGTAAGCGACAAGAGAATTGATCGAAATTATGAGTCAAGAATTTCGGTGAACGTTCTTAAGTATGATGGTATCATTAACGAGAGAAAAGTAGGAGAGTCGAAGTCTGGTGCTAAATTTCGTTTGCATTTTGTAAGAGAAAACTAAATCAATCTAGTTAGGTACCTTGAAAAGACGACCAAGATTTTAAGCTGTATAACGAATGGTCCCTTTTTCTCTCAGGGGAAGCCGTGCGTACTGTGAGCCTTGCAAAGACTACGAAATTTACTGTCTTCCTCTGATATATCCAATGAGGTGTATCGTGATTACTCTTACTCACTGCTGCCTCGAGCAAAAGGGACTGTTTTTGTTTTGTCTACAAAGGCGTTGTCAGTAATATATGTGTAATTTAGGAATTACACTATATATTCGAATTAAAAGAATTTTGGTAAGATATTTTTGTACTTGAGTATTGTATTTTTTTGAAAAACGTTTTTGTTTCTTCGTTTTTTTTTTTAATATGATTATTATTGTCATTCTTTTATGGTAAAGATATGTCTATTTTTAAAAAAGAAAAAAAGAAATATTTTTAGAGCTATAGTTAGTGTAATGTAACATTTTTAGAAACAATATTTGATTGTAGATATTGATGGATACTTCATGGTATCTATGATACTTAAGCGCCTCTGAAAATTATTGCAAAGTTATTCCTAGGAATAGCATTTTGACATTAGGGAACTTAAGAACCACGACGACGACCGGAAGTGAGTTACAGTGTGCTGCGCAAGCGTGACCAGTAAATTTCGTCGTCGTGGTGTCGTCGACGACGCCAAACAAAGTAGAATCACGTCGTCCTGCAATCCACAAGCTTCGGCAGGTATAATCCACTGTTTTAAGCGATTTTTGAAGTCTTTGCATTTTCTTATCCTCGTAAATTCTTTCTTTCTCCTAACAAGCGATGTTGATTGAAAATTCGACTTATGAATTGATTTTACTTCGAAGAATGACAACAGCTGTGGAGGCCGAACAAGCAAACTCGCAAGTGATAAATTTATTTGTACGTATTTAGGTAAGGCAAATCATATATCTTTAATACAGAAGAAATAAACTTTATATGAAAAACAGCTATCACATCAGAATGTCTTTTTTTTGAAATCTAAACTCTGACAGACACTCGGACTCGGTCATCTCATTCAAGTTGAAAGTTGAATAATTTCGTACGGAAAGTAGGTGTTTTTCCCACCCGAAAAGGTCAGACAACACAAAAAATTATCCATCGTCAGTGAAATTAGACGTACGGCTTAAAAAATAAGATCTTGCATTATTTTTTTTAAGGACGCCATTGCGAAAAACTTTGTTGCGAACGAACATCACAATTTTACATTTGTGTTTACATTCAGTGTCGTCGTCGTTGACCTACCGACCGACTGCATCTTAACTTTCCTTTTTCCCCCCGAAACCGACGTTCTCGTTCCAGTCTTTTCCCAGTCAACAGACGTCGTCGTTGTGAACTTCGTCGTGGTTCTTAAGTTCCCTATTGTCTGACAATGATGACGTGGTTAGATATCGCACTTTCACTTCTGAAATTTTTTGAATGAGGAAAAATTGTGGCTTTGCAGTAACACTGTAAAAACTGTAGTTGAAAGAAACGATGGTAAGATGTTTTTGTATTTTCCTTTAAATTGTTAGGAAAACTTGCTTATTATATTTCACTGCTTTTGCATCGATTTGTGTAAGACCTTAGAATCCTTTAGTATACTACATTTTACTATAATGTGGTTAAAAGAATATGTATTTTGATGTGAAACGTTTTAAACTATAGGACTAGATGCTCTTTATGTAAAGAAAAAGTGCAATCTAAAACAAATTAATTTTTTGGAATAAAATAATGTTTATCTCTGTTTCTTGTCGCTTCATAAGTCAACAGTCAGTTGTGGCATATTTTGCATCGCTTTTTTTGCTGCATGTTTGAAAGCTTGAACATTCAGTCACATCAAAGTCAACATTTACTCCATGGGCCTCTAGTCTGTCTGGTAAAGTATATCAACGGTTATTCTTGGTTGTAAATAAACTTTAAAAGCAACTTAAAACAAAAACGGGCCATTTCCCCATTTCTGCCATTTGGGGGACGAAAAAGGAAACGAATTGCAATAGTGGTTTCGGAAACTGTTGGCTTTAATTAACAGTGTTTCCAAGTTCATTCTTGTTATTTGTAAACGTTGGATTTAATGCTTGGTAGACGTACAAACGTTTGACACGAAGCTTTGATTTTGTCATTTAAAACTGACTCCTTCGCTAAATCGTTGAGTTTCCTACCGAATAAGGACATTATGAACTAGACACCAGTGACACACCCCCTTTCCCCTTACCGATGAAAGTTCTTAATCGTTAACAAAAGCATTTCGATTAACCAGTTTACTTGTAAGATGCCGCGAAAATTCTTTTTCAATCTCGCCGACATTAGACCGGTTGAGTTTCACAGAAATTTGTCTAGTTTGTCATCGAAATGCGTCAGAGACCACATCATCAGCCGATATAATTAATTAATTATCGTTTTAAGAAACCGTAGTTCCGAGGAGTAGTCTTCAGATTTAATCGAGAACCTTAATAAAAAAAAAACTCCATTCCGCATCGTTGCCAGCAGTTTATATTTACTACAGCCTCGCTGCATGTTTGAAAACGCAGAAGTCTAGGACTAAGTGCAGTTTTGTAAAGATGGGCGTTTTGAAACTTACGACGCATCTGATCTGTGATCGAAACGAACAATGAGAAATATAGATGCTGGAAGATTCTTATTCCGACAAAGATACCACTTATATGAACGTAAGGTATATTACAGTGGAGCCTGATATAACGAAGTCCTCGGTCTAACGAGCTATTTTTTTTAACTCAGTAATAGTAGAATATAAGGCAATATGAAAACAAAAACACCTCGATATAAGTTAACGAACCTCGAACGAAGATATTTTCCCAGTCCCTTGGCCCTTCGTTATATCGAGTGCACTTTACTTAATTTTATTTATTTATTTTATCCCCCCCACCCCCGGCTCCTTCCCTTGCGCGGGTCCTGTATAAGCACATAAGTACACTGTAGATACTACCAAGCCAAGGGATTTGAAAATGTTTGGTAAAATATTTTCTTATGCCTTCTTTAATCGAACAGCGCTATTAGAGCGTTAAATGTTTTGGAAATTGCCACGTATCAAAAGCGGCGCATGTTGGTTCTAAATTCCTGGCGATGTTTGATAGCTCGATTTGACGAGACTTGGAGACTGGACGGTCTCAGTGCAAGATGCAATAGTACAATAGCCTCAGTCCGTATTCGACGTATTCGTGTCAGTGAGTGTCCGAAGGGCAGAAGTACTTCGGTTTCAGTCACGTTAAGGGACGGGAAGAAAAATTGCGGACTCAGTTAGTGTCCGGTTTTGTGCCGTTTAGCGCAGTTTGGGTCTCTCACGTCTCTGGTTGCTAGTTTCTGTTTCTTTTTTGCGCGGTGCTGTTCAGCGGCCTTATTACCACGTTTCTCGGTAATGCTCTTAATCGACGTAAGTAATGTAGTCGATATAAGTTTGTAAAGTCGTTGTTGTAATTTTTTTTGATGTAGTGATTGAGTTGAGTCTTCAGTGACAGTCATCAATCCGCGCTCGCATTTATAGCCGTACAGGTGGCTTTGACGATTTGAGGTCACGTCCACACGATTTCGGATACGCTGAAATAGACCGCATACTCTATTTGCGTCAACACGAATTCGGTGTGGTGGATCCGGTTTAGATTCACCCATCCTCACGAAAACGCTAATGCGATTACCAGCTAGAAGCCATGCGCAAAACAGAGCTAATGTGATTTCGCGGCATTTTTGAATAGTGTGGTAGCTATATCGAGAACAATTGCCAATGTCCCACCAGGCACCTGCCGCGCGCTAGACGACCAACAAAAATTGTCTTTGACAAGGTTCTGGGTCCTGTTCCTCGAAAGATGGTTAAGTTTAAACCCAAGTTTAAGCCAAACTTTAAGCCCGGTTTTTCTTGTCAGTACGAGCTTGTAACTCAAGCTAACAAAATACTGTTAAGTCTTTACACTGAGATACAGTTATGATAACACAAAATCTTAGTCCAAGCAATGCACAGGAAGGTAAATGCAAAAAGTGGGACAAAATTTTAATCCTTAGTTAGCGCTAATCGGCCTTTCAGCAACCAGGCCCAGAACGAAGACGTTTTACACGCCTTCGTCTCGAACTAAGAGATTCCCAAAATTTTAGTGAATTTGAAATGGCCAATTGTTGTCGTCAAAATAGCAAAATTGACTTCAACGCATGCAATACGACTGGCGATGAGAGCCGGCAACATTGTTGTCCGCCATTTTCAAGTCACTACGGATCCAGTCTTCACCAGCTTCACGAGCTTCACCAGGTAAATCCAACAAACCTTTATTCCGCTTACGATTCGAATGACTGAAAACATGTGACATGCGGCTGCTATCACGAGAATACAGAGCACATGTATGACGTCATACACCACAGTGTTCAATGAGTAAAGGGGACTTAATTCTAAATACAGTCGACTCACGATAACTCGAACCTTCAACGGAAATCGAAAAAGGTTCGAGTTATCGGGAACTCGAAGGAAATAGCCGGGAGTAAGGAAAAAAACAGTCTTTACTGCACAGTGAGCATTCTAATCACATTTAATTGTAAAAATGTTGAGTGAAAATTGAAAGATACTGTTAGATTATAAATCAGAACGTAACAAAACGTTGCCTAAATAGAGCATGCATTTTACTTTTTGAGAAGTAAAGCTATTTCACGTTAGATTTGTGGCAAACAACATCAGCCTCCACTATCGATCCACTAGTAAACTATATGCCTACAACACGTCAATGGGAAATTCAAAATTCAGTGTTTCGGAGGCAGTGCACTCTTTTTTCCCGACTTTTTAAGGGCTCAAAACATGGTTCGAGTTATCGAGGGTAAAATTATATAGAAATGATCTGAGGGGAAACAAAAATTACTTCGAGTTAGCGGGAGTTTCGAGTTATCGAGGGTTCGAGTTACCGAGGGTAAAACAGTAACTGTATGACGAAATCCAGGGGAATCGATTTTGGTTCGAGTTAGCGCGAGGTTCGAGTTATCGGGAGTCAACTGCGTACTTTCAGAATAAGACCAAGATCTCAGTTTGCAGCGAGTAGTTGTCGTACTCGTCCGACGTTACTTGTCCGGCTAACTGACGTAGTCGTTAACAGAAACCTGACACAAACGGCTTCGACGCTCAACAGACTGAGGAGTACTGTCCCGCAGCCACGGAAGCTGTATGGACTACGGAGCTACGAGAGCTACACAAACCCAGTATACCTTTACCTTTACCCTTTAAGGGGCTATATATGTCACGGAGTTACTGCTGGTCAATTCGCTGTTTACGTCATTACCTAGTGCCTCTACTTACGCAAAAATGCTCCCGAAGAGTTATAAGAAGATATATATATCAAAAAAATTTCATCAAAAAGCACCAAACCATAATAATATTTTGGTGATTTTCGCAGGCATAGCATTAAAATTTGTAAAAGTTGGCCCAGCGTTTTCGTCTTTCAAGTTTGAATCCACGTCCATCTTTGTAAAAGAAGACAGGAAACAGTGTCAATGCCTGCCATAATTACTAAAATCTCAAATAACAAAACTGGACCATTATCTCTGGATTTCAATTGATTCAAAAATACAATCATTTGGCTCTTTGAAGACTGCAATTAGCGTGACATATGTAGCCCCTTCAATAGCAATATATTCCCAGTGGGCATGAGCACTTTTCAAATAACTTTCTGCCAATTTTAACCCTAAAAAATCAACAAAGAAGGATGCGGAACGTCTTCAAAAGCGGCTTTATGATTAAAACTACTACTCGTCAGGGGATTATTTTATATTAGGCTGTAAACCGTTATTTATGCCTTTGCCAAAAGCCAATGGGTGCAAACCGGAAATAGAAATGTTGACTTACACTCTCATTTGAAAGCTTGGTGACATAAAGTGACGCTGCATATTGCACTCTCACGCTACAAGGAACAGTTAGATATTTTTTGGTAACAACATCTGCCAGTTTCGATCTTTTAGTGCCTGGCTATGATATGATAATAGCATGGATTTTTCTTTAACCTGTTGGAAAACAACGGACGCAAGTTTCAAGTAAGTTGTGATACCATGCACGGAACATGATGCGGGGAAAAAAAGTCACGAAGCTTTAGTTCGCAAGTGTATGCGATTGTTGTATTTTAATTGCAAAAATAACAGTCAGTTGCCTTTTGCTATTTTTGAAAAGGAGGAGATTAAAGGACGATTATAATTTTAATAATCTCCTGCTTTTCAAAAATAAATGTTCATTACAGACACAAATTATGCAGGGATGTTAAGTCTTGGTGTTGTCTATTTAAGATTGCGTAATGCAGTGAAGTCACGCGATCACATTTTTGCAATTATGAATCTAGACACTAAATTCTTCCTTTTGTTTTCATATTTTCCGCAACAATACCTGTTACTGACATTACAGAGGTTAATTTTATTATGCTGTTTTATTTGGTTTTAAAGACAAAAATTCTTTTGTCAATTCAGCTATTTTTGGCCACGTGTGAAGTTTACAACAGAACACGCTGCCATTCATTTTATTTGTGCTCCGTTGCATTTGCCACTTTTTAAAATCAATGGATTCGATTTATCTACCAACAGTCAGTATTTATGAAGAGTGTCAAGCTTCGATCCGTTCTGGCACATGAGATATAAGACAAGTGTAAAGCCCGGTCCCGATCAACGTATTTATTTGCACGTGGTTAGTTAAAATTTAGGAGTACGAAGAGTGGAGTGCGGAGTGCGGAGTGTGGAGTGCGGAATGGACAAATGAGGAGTGTAATCTATATGGAGTGGGGAAAACGGGAAGTATAAAAATATGGAGAGTGGAAAAAAAAGCAGAAACGAATAGGTAGAATTAGCGCTGTTAACAGTAAGTAGAATTAGCGCTGTCAACTGTGTTGACTGTATTATTTCAGTCAAAAAGCCGCTCACACTTCTTTTTTTCATTTCTACCTTACACACAAATAAGTATGTATAAAAGAATGCAACATCAAAATCGCTATCTAAAGGGTCCATGAGAAAACGTGGACTGACTGCTTATTGCTCATCGTTATAAGTCAGTGGAACGACTGAGTCATAAAGGGTGTTGTGTAGTTTGCATATAAAATTAAATTCACTAGACTGCGTAAAAACAATTTTCAACAAATATATCGCTTCTCGTTTCGAACGTTTTATTATACACACAAGCATTTCAATATTTTTGTTTTGTACTGTTATTTTTTTCAATATTTTCCAAAATTCTCATTTCCTATTCCTCCGGAATCCACACTCTTCTTTTCCTCTTACTCATTTACATGCTTAGTGGTAGACAGTAAAACGGCTTATAAAAATTAACATTAAAAAAGAACAAATGAAGGACGTTTCGACCGTTCGACGGTCATGTTTAAGTTGAGATGTAAACAATGAGCATGTTTTTTACTTCTCAACTTGAAAATGACCGTCAAACGGTCGAAACTTCGTTATTGTTTTTCAACGTTAATTTTTTATAGTGAAATCCGTTTCGAAAATTTGATCTCGGCTCTTGATGCGAAATCTCGACTAAAAATGCGAGATCTCGACTTATAAAGTGATATCTCGTCCTTCAATGTGAGATCTCAGCTTATGATGCAGGATCTCTACTTATCATGTGAGATCTAGTTCAATAATGTGAGATCTTGACTGAAATCACGAGAGCTCGACTCATAATGCTAAATCTAAATATGTGATGTATGTTCTCACACTGAAGCACGTGCACGTAGCCTCGACTCAGGGGCATTTTGGTAAAGAAGCCAAACGCAATGAGCTAGCTTTCCTATTATCAAATGATGATAAGATCAAATGCTTTACAGCAGACAGGAAAACAGTGTTCATCCTTCTCTTCAGTCGTTCTGGTATGTGTGTCCAATTCAGAACTGCCTTTGGAGTACTGCCATATATTCCAGTGGTTGGGATTCATTCGGATAGAACAATGTTTTACACTTGGGTTGGAAATAGAAATAATATCGTTTCTCCTCTTTACTCAAGGCGTTAGAATAAGCCTCAGACAGTCCCTACTGAGAAGAAAAAAACTGCAAGGGGGTCGGGTACAGTACGGACCTCTTAGAATTTTTCATTTTTAAGTCATGTGGCTTGTTGAAGACCGCAGATCTGGCGGTCGAAACTCGTATTTTGGAAAGTATCTTGGCAAGGGTCACGCATGAGCCCACTAGACCACTCACAGAGTATAACCCAGACCTTAACAAGCACAAAAGGTTTGTCATAAAGAAAAAGATTTGTCACGAGCAAAAAGTTTTGTCCCGAGAAAAAAAATTCATGGACAAAAAGTTGTGACTCGAATTTCACTAATTTATAATGAAGTGAAGAAAGGAGATTTAATGAGAACAAAAAAATGTCGCGTGATGTCCAATTGGGCTCTCGACTTTCCAATGTTTGTGTTACAGATCTGAGTTGAAAATATTTTTAATTCTAGAGCCACCTCTCTGCAGATTGAAGAGTTATCTTAACTTCTAAAACTCAAACAAGATCAGTTGGAGTTGGAGTTGGAATGATGCTGAGAAGCTTCCTTTACAGTAGAACGTCTGTAACTAAATCCTTCAGTTGTTTTCTCCGAGGAAAACTTCAAGTTAGTTGTGTCTGTTTTACTGAGCCAGTTTGTAGCTTTTTTCTTTTTATTTTAATAGCTCACTCTAATTGATTTTAATTAGAAATACCGCATGTCTAGATATCCGTGTCCACGAGTTAAGACTACACTTAATGTGAAGTCACGCAAAAGAGAACTTCTCAAGGAAAAACTGTCATAATAAGGCTATAAAACATGAGCAACAGGCCCGCTAACGTACGTGGGCTGGGTTTGGTTTTTCAAAGCAGGGTTATAACCCAGGGTTAGTGCAAAATTTCAATTCAGCTATGAAAACTTTAAAAGCAAATTCAGTTTTATTTTTTGTACACAATTTGATGATTTTACACGCTAAAAAGAATTGAGAAAATTATCCTGAAAAATACTTTTGAACAAAAAAAAACCTGGGTTAAAATTTAACCCTAGTTTAGCGCTAATCGCCCTTCGAACACCTGGGCCCTGAAGTTTAGCCCGTATTGGAATCACTAATACAAGTGGTAGAGAATATGAAAGCAAACAGCAAGGCTACCCAACGACGCTTTCCTCCTAAATACATCGAAAACACTTTTTAGGCTATACAGACTGCTTATAGATCTGAAGAAATACATTCTTAGCGGCGCTATAAAATTTGTATCTGTTCGGTCGTCCTAGGGGAGCTTGCATGAGTCTTTTCGAAATTACAAGGGCTTCGAAAATTTTAGATGCAATTTAACGTATTACGAAAGTGAGAATTTTTCTGAGTCCTCTCTACATCTCATTTTTGAATCCGTAAAAATTTAGGTTTCCTTTTTTTTTCGGAAATAACCTAATCTAGGGAGTGAAATGTGAAAAATTAATCTTCAGAAAATCGTAGGGAATTTATTAGATTAGCTTCGAAACTTGTACGTGAATGGAACGGTCATCTAGAAATGTTCAGCTGTCCTCAATTAATAGAAAAATCTAGGCAATATTTGCTTCTCCGAACAGATATTTTACAGAAACCTGTCGTTGGGTGCCCCTGAAACAGTTCTGTTAAAAAACAAAAGCGATCATTGTATTAGTTTTAGCATGAATTTTTGAAGTATCTGTATTGTGGTTTACAGTCAACCTACAGTGTGACAGATGTCAAACCACTGGTGTCTGGAAACTGCTTGCAAATAGATTGGAAGGACGGACACACATCCTCGTAAGAATACGTTAGAAATGGGCTAGTTTAGTTTACCATTTTTGCGAACTTTCCGCATTAGAGACCAAGCATAATGCGAGAAGGTACGAGAAACAAACCATAATTAGCCAAAAATAAGCCCCCCGGGGGGCTTAGTAGAGGATTTACGGTAGTTTTACCCAAGTCTCTGCTTTTAATCTTTTTCGTATTTTACCGTTTGTGATGGCTTGTACTTTCTGGTAAAAAGCTGGCATCCTAATGTAGAATGCTTCGTTGGGGCAAATAAAATGTCATCCTCGGATAACTATAAACTTTTCGCGATTCCCAGACTACTTCTCCATTTATTTCAAGACAGAACATTGGACCTTTAACATTCATAAAAGGGGGAACCATATGGATGAGCAGGGGATTGATCGGGGGTTCTAAGGGCTCTGAAAAGAGCTCCCTATCGTTTACGTTTTCGGCGATTTTAGCGTTATGCATTCCGCGATATATTTGGCTGGCAATTCGAATAAGTCAGATGTCGCACTGCATTGGCTTTAAAATTCGAGGCAATTGTGAGCTATTTTACAACTGAGTGGTTTTCTTGAGTGGGAATTGTCTCAGTCTTGGCAACCACTGTTATTCAGTTTTGGGCCTAAGACAACAGCTCGCTGCTCCAGACCCGCCATTTTCGAACACAACTCTTACAAGTGTCTTACCAGACGTTTTCGAAGTGAAATGGATAGTGGTTCTACTCAACCGATTTTCAAAATTTAAACGGATTCTGTTCGAGAAAAGGCCAATCTTTCATTTGCCGCGCGTGGTTTTTTAAAAGCGGTGTAAATTTTCCGAAAATCTCTTTCGAAAATGAACTCCATACTAAAAATGGCCGTTTTTACTGCATTTTCAAGTTCAAAAGGATAATGCTTACTCTTGTTCAATCTTCTTCGTTTTAGTCTCAAATTGCAGTTACACCATTCTTCTTCAAAAACCCGCGCGTAGGTTTTTAGAATTTGGCTTTTGGAAAGCAGGAATGCAAGTTTTATGAGCGCTACCTGGCCAGTTTTATCTCTTTCTTGTCTTATTGTGAGCCTTTCTTAGCCAACTCGCATTCATATTTGCCGCTTCGCTGATTATGAATAATTAATGATGTCCCTTCATTTCTGCCGATCGTTTTAAGTTACGATGTATGTTGTCATGTTATGTCTCTAAAGGTACTTTGTATACTCTGAGTCTGCTGAGTAGCGTAGTTCATGCGACGGACACCATGTGTCCAACTGTCGCTTACAAGAGGCTGAAACCAAAAATGGAAATAGACCTTTTTAGCTTGTATGTCTTAATTTGTTTTCGCATTTTAGACAACGTGATGGTACGGCAAAGAACTTTTCTTCCCAATTTTGTCCTACACACGTGCAACATGTGCATATGTATGCACAATTTACGCGAAATTACCTTGAAAACATCACGTTCACTGAGTTGGGAAACAAAACTAACAAGTTAAAAAGGTGTATTATTATGAAACGTACGCTCTGAAAAGTGGTCCCGGTTGCTAACACAAGGTGGTAATTTACGAGGGGTTCCAATCATAGGGCTATGACTAGGAACATTTTGTGATTTGGACTGGTGACTAAAACGAGTTAAATAGGATAGAACAAGGACGAGGCAATGCTCAGTGTGGGTGTGTTTGTGTGAGGGAGGGCTTGCACCTCCTCCCATCATTCTGTGACTTCCAGTGGATCCTTTTAAGGTTTCCACTGGAAACAGCCAACAGTCAATGCTGAACAGTCAATTGATGGTTATCGATTTCCTAGAAAAAAATTATACGTACACCTGCACTTACATTTACGCGGGCGATTACAACTTTCAGCACCTCCGCTCCCAAATAGCTACTAGGTTAATCACGTGTTCTAACAACTAACAGTAGATCGGGAAAACTACACAAGTCATTTCATTTTTTATGGTTAATATACTATATGTCTGTAATTAAATATATACATTTCTTTTAAAATTTTTCTTATTCTTTTGTTCCTTAACTTATTTAAGGTTCCACAGTTGTTGGCTGCGGCTTTGTTGCCAATGTGATAAGTGCAAGCAATCAAGTAGTGGTCAGAGGACTATTAATGTCTCATCTCTTCCTGATCCAATAAAGCTATCAAGTTTTGCAATTTCCGGTAAGTGGGCGTAGCGTAAGTTAACCTTAAAAGTCAGTGTCGATGTTATATGTCTCACAAGTTTCGAACAAGTTGATTTCAATCACCGTACATTGTACTATGCAAGGCTTTTGTAGACGTTTACTGAATAGCCCTTTAATGTAAAATCTTCAGCCTTATTATGCTTATACTTACTCAACGCAAACTTCGTCTATTGGTTTTACTGCAAAAGAAATACTTGTAACTTGCAAGAACATTGTAACGAAACCTAATTTAGAGGAATTTTTAGGTTTAGCTTTTTGAACAATATCGCTTTGAAAATTGTGGCAAACAATATTGAATATGTGTGGCAGCTGACAGGTTCTTTTTTTTATTTTTTATTTTCCAATACTTTTTATTTTCATTGTAATTTGTTTTGTTATTTACTGACATATTTATTTACTTAATATTTATTCTTTTACTTTCTGCTGTGTATTAATGTTGTTAATTTGTTGTCAATAAAAAAAAAATAAAAAAATGCTTACTGTTCTTAACATATAATCACTATAGAGTAAGACACATAGACAGCCTTTTTGCTGTCCAAGAAAAATTCGATAACAATACCACTGATTTTTTTTGTTGCAAATGTGTTGAGACAGCGGTCAGTGTAAAACGCAGACTGCGGACCAGGGGTAAAATGCAGACTGTGTGTAAAATGCAGAGTGCAGACTGAGAGTAAAACGCAGGCTGGGTGCAAAATGCAAAATAAAGACTGTAGACTCTTTTAAACATTTGTGCTCCTTCTTCTTCGAATCGGTGAAATAGCTAGCCGGTATCAGTTACACACTTCGCTTCCTAGTCAAAGTGCATTGCACATTCGCCAGAAGTTTCAATGAACATCCGAACAGCTTAAGTCTGCGTTCCTTGATTTGCAATACTTTCATAGAAGGTCATCCAAATTTCCGCAGAACATCCTTCTTAGTTGTTGGAATGACTTACTCCCTTTTTTATCGTTATAATTCTTCCTGTACAGTATTTTGGGTCAGCAGCTTTCATTTAAGCGTAATGCACCTATCAATGTTATGCCGGCGGGGAAGCAGGGCATAGGGTAGGGATTTGAATGTCTTTGTTGGCCCTGGGGTAGGGTATTTGACTGATCTTGTTCTCCCAGGGGAGGGGATATTTGAATCTTTCTTCGCCCGACGTAGAAATATTTGACTGCCGACTGGGACGAAAAAGACTGAGAACGAACATATGTTTCCCACTTCCAAGCCTCACGCACGCGCCGTACGGTCTGGAAAGATCTGGAAATCATAGAGGCCAACGAGAACAAGCGAAAGCTAGGTGGATTTCACTGTGTTTTTTTCAAATTTGGTGTGTTTTAGCGTGTTTTTGATCTTATTGAACCTCTTAAGATACTGTGGTATCAAAGTAAACGGAAGTAAAGAGTAACCAAGTCGATTTTTACAAGTACAATTGATCAGTGTATGCTCATTCGCTACAATCACTGTAAGCTTATAAAAATGACTTTCTTTCACCCTTTACTAAGAACGGTATATTTAAACTTACAAAATGTGGACTTTCTCCTAAAGGTTTCTGTATTCTACGCAGTGTAACACGGATTATGGTTAAAACGTGTAATTGCAGCTGTAACAGGAACATGTATCTTTGGTGATGCAGCAACGTAATATAAATAAAGATTTCAGAGTTTATTTGGAAATATTTTTATTGTGCCTTTCTTGGGTCCAGCCTTGGGATATTTGACAGCGCAATGTGCAGCCAGAAGTGGGGAAATTTGGTTGCATTTGACTGGAATGATGTGCCCGTGGGCAAGGAATTTAACTGCAAATTGTTGAAAAATGTCAAATCCCCACCCCATGCCCTGCCTCCCCCCCCCGCCGGCTTTACATCGATAGGTGCATAAACATCGTGGTGTTGTACCAGTTCACGGTCCCTGGTCACGTATATAAAGTTGAAGCGTGAATTCTCTCGGACGGAAAAAAGGTTCAAGATTACGATTATGTTTTCGGGTCGTCGACGACGTTCCAGAGAAGAAAGGAATGGATTTGTGAAAGCAGATGTCGTCAAGTAAGTGTTCGTTTACATGTATCTGCGGGATTTTCTTGCCCTTAAACCCTTCCACGACAGTTTATGCTCGGTCTGCATTTTACCCCAGCCTGCGCTTTACTCTTAGTCTGCAGTCTGCATTTTACCCCTGGTCCGCAGTCCGCAGTCTGCAGTCTTCGTTTTAAACTAACCGGTTGAGACAGGCAAATAAACTCTGCAGACTTTGGGCCTTTTGATATTATCCTAGCAGTAAATTGATTTTGATTTTTCTCCCCATTGTTATACAAAGTATTATCGATATCCATAGCTAGAAAATAGAATATTTTGACCGCACATAGACTAACTCATTCAGTAGAGATCAGTAGAGCAACGGCCTGCAGAGTGGGATGTCACAAGTCTAATTCCTGGTACCAGAACAATACTGCATGCTCTTATAATAGCTTACTAATTTATTCTATTTTTTTTTTCAGAAAATAAGGAGAATCTCCTTTTAACTTGGGAACGTGAAAGTGATCATCAAGGAGTGCTTAACTTAAAATGGCTAAGAGAAAATTGTTACTCTGAACCAGCAAGGAAGATACAAAGTGAAATGAGAAGGACACAGCCACATTTAGGACAGGTATTTAGCCCTCCTGATAACAATCAGACAATGATGCTTAGAACAAGCACGAAGAGATGTACAAAACTTATAACAAGAGTATATAGTGGTTCCCCGTTAGCTAATATATGGAATACATTTCTCTCAATAGCTTTACATAGCCCTACATAGCCCAACATAGCCCTACATAGCCATTCATAGCCCTACACAGCCCTACATAACCATACATAGCACTACATAGAGATACATAGCCATACATAGCCCTACATAGCCATACATAGCCCTACATAGCCATACACAGCCCTACACAGCCCTACATAGCCCTACATAACCATACATAGCCCTACATAGCCATACATAGCCCTACATAGCCATACATAGCCCTACATAGCCATACAGAGCCCTACACAGCCCTACATAGCCCTACATAACCATACATAGCCCTACATAGCCATACATAGCCCTACATAGCCATACATAGCCCTACATAGCCATACACAGCCCTACACAGCCCTACATAGCCCTACATAGCCATACATAGCCCTACATAGCCATACATAGCCCTATATAGCCATACATAGCCCTACATAGCCATACAGTACACAGCCCTACATAGCCATACATAGCCCTACACAGCCCTACATAACCATACATAGCCCTACATAGCCATACATAGCCCTACATAGCCATACATAGCCCTACATAGCCCTACATAGCCATACATAGCCCTACATAGCCATACACAGCCATACATAGCCCTACATAGCCATACATAGCCCTACATAGCCATACATAGCCATACATAGCCCTACACAGCCATACATAGCCATACACAGCCCTACACAGCCCTACACAGCCCTACATAACCATACATAGCCCTACATAGCCATACATAGCCCTACATAGCCATACATAGCCCTACATAGCCATACATAGCCCTACATAGCCATACACAGCCCTACACAGCCCTACATAGCCCTACATAACCATACCTAGCCCTACATAGCCATACATAGCCCTACACAGCCATACATAGCCATACATAGCCCTACATAGCCCTACATAGCCATAGATAGCCATACACAGCCATACATAGCCATACATAGCCATACACAGCCATACATAGCCCTACATAGCCCTACACAGCCCTACATAGCCATACATAGCCCTACATAGCCCTACATAGCCATACATAGCCCTACATAGCCATACACAGCCCTACACAGCCCTACATAGCCCTACATAACCATACATAGCCCTACATAGCCATACATAGCCATACATAGCCCTACATATACACAGCCCTACATAGCCATACATAGCCCCCCAGCCCTACACAGCCCTACACAGCCCATAACCATACATAGCCATACATAGCCATACATAGCCCTACACAGCCATACATAGCCCTACATAGCCATACACAGCCCTACACAGCCCATACATAGCCCTACATAACCATACATAGCCCTATATAGCCATACATAGCCATACAGCCCTACATAGCCATACAGCCATACACAGCCATACACAGCCATACAGCCATACAGCCCTACATAACCATACATAGCCTTACATAGCCATACATAGCCCTACATAGCCATACATACAGCCATACATAGCCCTACATAGCCCCTACATAGCCATACATAACCATACATAGCCCTACATAGCCATACACAGCCCTACATTGCCATACATAGCCCTACATAGCCATACACAGCCATACATAGCCCTACATAAGCCATACATAGCCCTACATAGCCATACATAGCAATACATATACATAGCCCTATACACAGCCCTACATAGCCATACATAGCCATACACACAGCCCTACACAGCCATACATAGCAATACATACAGCCATACATAGCCTATACACAGCCATACATAGCCATACATAGCCATACATAGCCATACATGGCCATACACAGCCATACACAGCCCTATACACAGCCCCCCTACAGAACTATACATAGCCCTACATAGCCATACATAGCCCTACATAGCCATACACAGCCCTACAGCCCCTATACACAGCCATACATAACCATACATAGCTATACACAGCCATACACAGCCATACATAGCCATACATAACCATACATAGCATAGCCCTACATAGCCATACATAGCCTACTAGCCATACATAACCCCTACACATAGCCATACACAGCCATACATAGCCCTACATAGCCATACATAGCCATACATAGCCACACACAGCCATACACAGCCATACACAGCCATACATAGCCCTACATAGCCATACATAGCCATACATAGCTATACATAGCCCTACATAGCCCTACATAGCCATACACAGCCCTACACAGCCCTACATAGCCCTACATAGCCCTACATAACCATACATAGCCCTACATAGCCATACATAGCCCTACATAGCCATACATAGCCATACATAGCCCTACACAGCCATACATACAATACATAGCCCTTCATAGCCCTACATAGCCATACATAGCCCTACATTGCCATACATAGTCCTACATAGCCATACACAGCCCTACACAGCCCTACATAGCCCTACATAACCATACATAGCCCTACATATACATAGCCAAACATAGCCATACATAGCCCTACACAGCCAGACACATCCATACACAGCCATACATAGCCATACATAGCCATACACAACCATACATAGCCCTACATATCCATACACAGCTATTCACAGCCATACACAGCGATACATAGCCATATATAGCCATACATAGCCCTACACAGCCATACACAGCCCTACACATCCATACATAGCCATACACAGCCATTCACAGCCATACACAGCCATACATAGCCCTACATAGCCATACATAACCCTACATAGCCATACATAGCCCTACACAGCCCTACATAGACCCACATAACCATACATAGCCCTACATAGCCATACTCTGCCCTACATAGCCGTACACAGTCATACATAGCCATACATGGCCCTACATAGCCATACTGAGTCCTACTTAGCCATACACTTCCATACACAGCCCTACATAGCCCTACATAGCCATACATAGCCGTACACAGCCCTACATAGCCCTACATAACCATACATAGCCCTGCATAGCCCTACATAGCCATAACTAGTTACACGTGCACAACACTTCGTGGACAAGACTTTGCGACTGGTTGGGATTTATCTTTTAATCAGTGCCGTACAAAGAGTGTTGTGTTTTTTCTCAGGAAAGTTATTTTATAAAAGCAATGGAAAGCTTATTTCCTGTGTTTGCATAGCCTGATATAAACACTCGAGGCGTTGGGAGAATTCTCGACAGTTATACAAACCCGAGACGAATCGTCTCGGGTTTGAATAACTGTCTCGTTTTCTCCCAACTCCTCTTGTGTTTATATGGAACTATGCCAACAGAAAACGTTTTCTGTTGCTTAAATATAGCTGTACATAGACATACATAGCCATACATATGCCATTGTCTTGATTTTCAAAGCTGGCGCTTTTCGCTAATAGTGGGCTGTAACATCTAGCCTAGTAGTAGCGCAACCAATCAGAACGCAGCATTGATAATAGACCACTAGTTGCATTTTACAAATAGCCCTATAATCCCCTCACAACCCTACATAACCCTACATAGCTCTACGTAGCGTTACATAGCTCTACAGAACCCTACATATTACTACACAACCCTACATAGCCGAACAGAACTCTATGCAATCCCACATAGCCCTGTATACCCGGACACAGGGCTACATAGTCCTAAACAGCCATTCGTTATCATAAGAGACTACATTACGAGGCTTGAACACCAAGAACACCAAATTTAGAAAAAATTACCAGAAACCCTCAGATTTAAGTAAGAATTAAAATATTTTATTTGGATTATGGGCTATTATTTAACTCTGACAAGTACCTTACAACTCGTTTATGACCTTGGTTTTTTTTTACTTCTTTTATCCAACAGTTCTTTTTCCAAACGTTTAAAATTATATGTTCTCTTATGTCATAGTAAAAGTAATAACAATTACATAAGGAAAATACAAAGACCTGCGGTTTGTACAGTCCTGAAACCACAAACAGAGTTTACCTGCTCAGGAGCTAGTTAAGCTTGGGACGTATTTATAACTGATTTGGTGGAAGTTTTGGCACTTTAACATACCTATTGTCTGTGCAGCCCTAAACAGCTGCACTCATCAACTCATTTACAGCCAAACAGCCAAGTGCAATCTTTTATTATCATACACGGCCCTGGAAACTTGGACACATTGGGTCGGTTATATACCTGCCAACTTTTTCTGAGATATAAGCGTGAGATTTTTATCCTGGGTGTGCTGGAATTTTTGAAGACGACACGATCATTTCCGAAGATTCCCGAAGAAGTCCGAAGTCTTCCGAAGACGTCCCGAAGTCTACCGAAGACGAAGTTATCGAGTTATTTAAACGAAGTCCAACTTTGGCAGCAGTTTAGGAGATCTTTGGACCGACCAAATCTCTAGTGCATTCTTTAAAGACAAATGCTTTTCTTGTCCACGTTATATGCGCTACTGAGACTGTCACAATAAAGGGTGTTTACATAAAAGCGTTCACCAAACAAAAAATGGCATAAAACGCATTTTCTTAAAACTCTACCTAAACGCCGTTTAAATAACTGGCCCACTGTTTCACATATGGCCACACATAGCGCTGTGTCAATGTATCAATAGGCCAATTTCAAAAATACAACCATACTCTTTGTTTTCCCTCCAAAGTTTTGCACATGCCTAGTACTACTTTCTTGAGAGAGCAACAATCACCCCAAGAAAAGCTGAAAGCAATACTTATTCAAACTTTTGCAGAGAAAACAAAGAGTATTAAAAAGGCCTATCCAAAAAGGCCCATATTCAATTATACGCTCTAGGTGCTTATTCGAGGTGGGTGCTTGTTTGAGTCTGGACATTAATTAAAATTTTGTCATTTTCAGCAAGTAGTAAGTTAATTTACCAACAAAACAGTACATAATACCATAATTTGTGCGAGGACAGAATTTTAGTTTAAATTTGAAAAAAAAACCTAAGAACTAGGCCTTGGTGGACACCCAGTCAATTTCTATCTCCATCTCATTGTCAGCAGGATCAATAAGCGATCTCTCTGGTTTGTTGTGTCCCTGTCTCACAGTATAATGCCCACAAACAATGTGTTTTTTTTTTACAAGTGGACAAGAAGTTTTAGACGAGAAACAGTTGTGGCAGTAAATATGTAAGCTATGTATGGTTATGTAGGGCTATGTAGGGCTGTGTAGGGCTATGAAGGGCTATGTATGGTTATGTATGGCTATATAGGGCTAAGTATGGTTATGTAGGGCTATGTAGGGCTCTGTAGGGCTATGTACGGCTATGTATGGCTATGTAGGGCTGTGTATGGCTATGTAGGGCTATGTATGGCTGTGTATGGCTGTGTAGGGATGTGTAGGCTAGGGCTATGTATGGTTATGTATAGCTATGTAGGGCTATGTATGGTTATGTAGGGCTATGTATGGTTATGTAGGGCTATGTATGGCTGTGTAGGGCTATGTAGGGCTATGAAGGGCTGTGTAGGGCTATGTAGGGCTATGTATGGCTATGTAAGGCTGTGTAGGGCTATGTATGGCTATGTAGGGCTATGTATGGTTATGTAGGGCTATGTATGGTTATGTAGGGCTATGTATGGCTGTGTAGGGCTATGTATGGCTATGTAGGGCTGTGTAGGGCTATGTAGGGCTATGTAGGGCTATGTAGGGCTATGTAGGGCTATGTATGGTTATGTAGGGCTATGTATGGTTATGTAGGGCTATGTATGGTTATGTAGGGCTATGTATGGCTGTGTAGGGCTATGTATGGCTATGTAGGGCTATGTATGGTTATGTAGGGCTGTGTATGGTTATGTAGGGCTATGTATGGCTGTGTAGGGCTGTGTATGGCTATGTAGGGCTGTGTAGGACTATGTAGGGCTGTGTAGGGCTATGTATGGCTGTGTATGGCTATGTAGGGCTATGTATGGCTATGTAGGGCTATGTATGGTTATGTAGGGCTATGTATGGCTATGTAGGGCTATGTATGGCTGTGTAGGGCTGTGTATGGCTATGTAAGGCTGTGTAGGGCTATGTAGGGCTGTGTAGGGCTATGTATGGCTGTGTATGGCTATGTAGGGCTATGTAGGGCTGTGTAGGGCTGTGTATGGCTATGTAGGGCTATGTATGGCTATGTAGGGCTATGTATGGTTATGTAGGGCTATGTATGGCTGTGTATGGCTATGTATGGCTATGTAGGGCTGTGTAGGGCTATGTAGGGCTATGTATGGCTATGTAGGGCTATGTATGGCTATGTAGGGCTATGTATGGTTATGTAGGACTATGTATGGTTATGTAGGGCTGTGTATGGCTGTGTAGGGCTATGTAGGCCTATGTATGGTTATATAGGGCTGTGTAGGGCTATGTATGGCTATGTAGGGCTGTGTATGGCTATGTAGGGCTATGTAGGGCTGTGTATGGCTATGTAGGGCTGTGTAGGGCTATGTATGGCTGTGTATGGCTATGTAGGGCTATGTATGGCTATGTAGGGTTATTTATGGTTATGTAGGGCTATGTATGGTTATGTAGGGCTATGTATGGCTGTGTAGGGCTGTGTATGGCTATGTAGGGCTGTGTAGGGCTATGTAGGGCTATGTATGGCTGTGTATGGCTATGTAGGGCTAGTATGGCTATGTAGGGCTATGTATGGTTATGTAGGGCTGTGTATGGCTATGTAGGGCTATGTTTGGCTGTGTAGGGCTATGTATGGCTATGTAGGGCTGTGTAGGGCTATGTAGGGCTATGTAGGGCTGTGTAGGGCTATGTAGGGCTGTGTAGGGCTATGTAGGGTTATGTATGGCTATGTAGGGCTGTGTAGGGCTATGTATGGCTGTGTATGGCTATGTAGGGCTGTGTAGGGCCATGTATGGCTATGTAGGGCTATGTATGGTTATTTAGGGCTGTGTAGGGCTATGTAGGGTTATGTATGGCTATGTAGGGCTGTGTAGGGCTATTTATGGCTTTGTATGGCTATGTAGGGCTATGTATGGCTATGTAGGGCTATGTATGGCTATGTAAGGCTAGTATGGTTATGTAGGGCTATGTATAGTTATGTAGGGCTATGTATGGCTGTGTAGGGCTATGTAGGGCTATGTAGGGCTATGTATGGTTATATAGGGCTGTGTAGGGCTATGTATGGCTATGTAGGGCTGTGTATGGCTATGTAGGGCTATGTAGGGCTGTGTAGGGCTGTGTATGGCTATGTAGGGCTATGTAGGGCTATGTATGGCTGTGTATGGCTATGTAGGGCTATGTATGGCTATGTAGGGTTATGTATGGTTATGTAGGGCTAGGTATGGTTATGTAGGGCTATTTATGGCTGTGTAGGGCTGTGTATGGCTTTGTAGGGCTGTGTAGGGCTATGTAGGGCTGTGTAGGGCTATGTAGGGCTGTGTATGGCTATGTAGGGCTATTTATGGCTATGTAGGGCTATGTATGGTTATGTAGGGCTGTGTATGGCTATGTAGGGCTATGTAGGGCTGTGTAGGGCTATGTATGGCTATGTAGGGCTGTGTAGGGCTATGTAGGGCTGTGTAGGGCTATGTAGGGCTGTGTAGGGCTATGTATGGCTATGTAGGGCTGTGTAGGGCTATGTAGGGCTGTGTAGGGCTATGTAGGGCTGTGTAGGGCTATGTATGGCTGCGTATCTATGTAGGGCTATGTATGGCTATGTAGGGCTATGTATGGTTATGTAGGGCTATGTAGGGCTGTGTAGGGCTCTGTATGGCTATGTATGGCTGTGTATGGCTATGTAGGGCTATGTATGGCTATGTAGGGCTATGTATGGTTATGTAGGGCTGTGTATGGCTATGTAGGGCTATGTAGGGCTGTGTAGGGCTATGTATGGCTATGTAGGGCTGTGTAGGGCTATGTAGGGCTGTGTAGGGCTATGTAGGGCTGTGTAGGGCTATGTATGGCTGATTTGTAGGGCTATGTAGGGCTATGTAGGGCTGTGTAGGGCTGTGTATGGCTATGTAGGGCTATGTAGGGCTATGTAGGGCTGTGTAGGGCTGTGTATGGTTATGTAGGGCTATGTAGGGCTATGTAGGGCTGTGTAGGGCTATGTAGGGCTATGTATGGCTATGTAGGGCTATGTAGGGCTATGTAGGGCTGTGTATGGCTATGTAGGGGTATGTAGGGCTATGTAGGGCTGGGTATGGCTATGTAGGGCTATGTATGGTTATGTAGGGCTATGTATGGCTGTGTAGGGCTGTGTAGGGCTATGTAGGGCTATGTAGGGCTATGTAGGGCTGTGTATGGCTATGTAGGGCTATGTAGTATTATGTAGGATTATGTACACTGCTTCTAGTAACTAACGGGGAACCACTATATGATGCTTACACCACGTACCTACCTTCCCAATGGTTTTAACCGCTGGTTTTTACTGTGATTCCCGGGCTCATCATGTTTGGAAACTTCCAGTAGTCAAATACATAGCTGTTTATAGTCAAATAAAAGCCGCTGATCAAAAATTTGCGACAACCAGAAATGGCGACGAAAACTCAAAGAAAATAAGCTTTCGAACAAGAGGTTTTGGAGACAATTTAGATGATTTTTGGCTGAGGCATTGTAGAGCGAAGGTCTTGGATTTAAGCCGTGTAGTAGAAACGTATTTATAAGTGGAATTAACTCCAAATTCTTTAAAAGTGGGAAGGAAGAATTTGCTTTTTCAGTGGACAAATATAAAACTCACGATAAAAAAAGATAAGACTTTGTACTTGAAGATTTAATCGCAACCTCTGAGAGCTTCCCAGCGGAATTGTCATTAATTACTGAAGAAAAGAGGTTAATCAAGGTGGCAGTGCTCCATTTGCAATAGAATCATATGGAAGACGCAGGTAATTTTTTCGTATTTTTATTTCCATTCTGGGAAGCTCGAGATTTGAAGGGAGGAGTTTAAGTTTGTCAAAACTAAGATCTAAATAAGTCAACCTTTCAGTCTCAATCGGGTCCTAGTGTTCAGGTATATCGTACGACATGTTGGGGTGTCTAGAAAACACAGACCTCGAAAACACAGACCACAGACCTAGAAAACGCAGACCTCGAAAACACAGACCTTGAAAACACAGACCTCGCAATTTAAAACGAGTCTTAAGACCTACACATTTGATCAAAACAGTTTATGCATGGCACTTATTTTTCCTATAGTTTATGGCTACTGGCGTGCCGACTTGGCTTTTTTTTTTTGGTACCTCCTGAGTGGCAAATTGTAAAACACCAGTAAATGAACAGCAACAACAACAATGAAAACCACGAAATCGCAGTCTGTCAGCACTTAAACGGCCGCTTTGCCCATTCTTCAGTCCTGTTTCGATTAACTTATTTGTTACTATTGCATTACTACAGTAGTGGAAAAACCATGTTCATAGAAGTAAAGTTGTTGTTGTTTAACTATGTCATGAACAGGGACTGGACTACATCGAAAACGTCGTGGCACATCATGCAATCATAGATCCTAGACCAACAAAGGAAGCCTGCGTTTGACTGTTGCTTGTTCTCGTTGCCAGTCCAGCAATAGCTATAGATAAACGTCAAACAGCAAAAAAAAAAAAAGCAAAGTCGGCATGCCAGCTCAGCCATAAACTATAGGGAAAATAAGTGCCATGGGTAAACTGTTTTCATCAAATGTGTAGGTCTTAAGACTCACTTTAAATTGTGAGGTCTGTGTTTTCTAGGTCTGCGTTTTCTAGGTCTGTGGTCTGTGGTCTGTGTTTTCAAGGTCTGTGTTTTCTAGACACCCCGACATGTTGTATCGCAAATTATTTTACTTATCCCACATTTCTTTGTAAAATTTTCATTGTTTTCTGTTGGAGCTTTTTTTATGTGTCCACTACTACTGCGCATGCATGAAATTAAATCCTGGCCATTCATAATAATACTTTTGTTAAGTTGTAATTATCAAAACCTCTTGACTTCAACATTTAGTTATAATACATGATATGTCAACATATATTAATATTGACATAAGACTGTTTTCATACAGTCAAAATGTCCACTGAAAATGAAAGATGTTGACTCCAACGGACTTATGTTTTAATCACTATTTAACAGCACAGCCTTCCAGAAGTGGAGTATAGTGAAATGATGGAAACTAAGGAAGGTCTCTGGAAGTAAGTTCCCTCTATTGTGTATATCACGGACCCAATAAATGATATCATCGTACAACCATTCCTGAAGTATAATTATATTGTTTGATTTACAGGTTGAATACAAGCACTGTATAAAATTCGCTAACAGCCCTGAAATCAATATTGAGCTCAGGATATAAGCGCTCTAGAAATAAAGCTATCACCATTTCTACTTAACAATTTGTAAGCCATGTATTTCTATGAGTTTCTCAATAATTGACTAATTATTGGCTGGAAATCCTGTAGTGTAATTGCAGTAATATGCAAGGAGCCTTTTGTAGACCTCGTTCATTCAGACAGTTTTACGTTTGCAACACTAGGTGACAGATAGTATTTTAAGTGTAAAGCGTTCTTTTTGCCCCCATATCTTTGTATCGCGCTCCATTGATGTTAGTTTAATATTTAACTATCATGTGTTTCCTCCTGTTTTTAAGAATGCTTTGCCAACTAAGTGATCATGGGGTGTCATTGGTAAAACAAGTGCCAATTGATGACGAGGAGACTGTTTGTAAGGTTTGTGAAGCTATATAGTTACTATATTAATCTGAAGTTAGATAGTCAACATTCTCTCAAAAGCTGCTACTCTGACACAGTTCATTCATCTAGTTTTGAGCTGAATTTTAAGCTGTAATTCTCAAACATGTCACCTGATCGCAATGAAAAGACTCTGCAAAATGTGCAAATGCTAGCTGTCAGGCAAAGTAGTACATAGACTTTGATGCAAGATAATGTCCAAGGGAACAGTGTGTAAAACCTTTTTTTTTTTATCTACCAGGTTGCAAGAAGAATGGGACCTCCTCAGGAAACCGTATATGGAATGGTTAGTCAGTACTAATAACTGCATTGAATAACTGCAATATTCCATGAGTGATTTTAGTGACTGATGATGATCTCAGTGTTAAGTGTTGCTGTCTTTTTTAGACATTTAATGTGCTGAGTGTTCCTAATCCAATCAATATTGCATATTCTGATGTTGAATTGGCTCTGCACATGGATCTGATGTATTATGAGTCTCCACCTGGACTTCAGCTTCTTCACTGCTTAAGGTATAAAGCTAAATTCTAAATCATTTTTTGAGAAACTTTAACGGCTGCATTGCAATTGAGATACTTCATTCCACTGCGTACTGTGACAAGTGATTTAATACCGCCGCCCGGTTAGTTTAAATGGATAAACACAGGTCTGCCGAGCGGGAGGTCGCGGGTGCAAACCAGCCTGACCAACATACAGGGTCTTAAAATAACTGAAGAGAATGTACTGCCTTTATTGTGACATCTACAAATGGTTAGACATTCTAGTCTTCTCGGACAAGGATGACAAACCGTAGTATCCGTCTCAGAGCTCTTCATGGTTGTGATTATTTTTGGACGTAAAAGAACCCACACTGCTGTTCGTTGGAAGAGTAGGGGGCGTAGACACCAGTGGTGTGGTACAACTCAGTTTCATGGGCTGGGTGGGTAATGAAGGGGTTGATATCATTTGGGATACATTAAGTCCTGTCTCATCCCCTGTCACCATGTTGAGTCACTGTGGCGAATTCCATAAGTTATAGTCGGAACGTTATACCATTTGTCTATGCTTAGATATGATCCAGAAGTTGAAGGAGGCGAGAGCATATTTGTAGACGCTTTTGAGGTTGCTAAGGATTTGAGAAAACAGTTTCCTGATGACTTCAACAATCTTGTGCGTATACCAGCAACATTTCAGAAAATACACTTTGAAAGGTATTAAATTGTTCTTACTTGAAAATTTTCATCTTTATCACAACCACTACAAATATCTATCAGAATAACGTAACACACTTTAAGCTTAATCTGACATTGACAAACCTTTTTTAACGAGCCAAGCTTTTCGTTGTTGTTCTTTTCTTTATGTTGCAGGGATTATCCTGTCAAGCTAGTGTACAAAAGACCACATGTTGTTCTTAATCCAGACAATGAGGTACAATGTGTTTTTTTTTTACTCTGTAGTGTACCCGTTTAATATTTACAAAGTTAAACAACAATACCAGCAATACCATTAGTATGGTTCATGTAGTGCCTTCCTATGGCACTCTGTTTTCCAAATGTGGCTAGAAAGTAGGTCCAAATGGGATAGAGTCACGAGAGTTTTCTATTCTATTCAACGTTAGGGTACATTCATTCATAACCTTAGAACACACTCTCGTAGTTTAGGCCCTGTTTACAAGGAGGGAGGATAACCCTGGTGCTAGAGTTACCCTAGCACTCACATATTTCTTCTTTTTTCACACGACGTTTTTACAAGGCAGGTAGGGCTACACTAGCGCTAGGGTAACCCTACCTGAGTGCTAGGGTTACCCTAACAAGAGTGTCATCGCCTACCTGCCTTGTAAACGCTCTGCTAGGGATAACTCACCTACCCGCGTCAACTTTCTGCCGTCATGCATGACTGGTAATCGTGCTAATTTGAACAGGATCATCCAATTTCTGAGCTTTATTAGAAACATCTGAAAACATAAAGTTATTTTCTGTCTATGATAATATTTTCCCTTTTTTCCATGAATTTAACATGTTTCCCATAGAGAACTTCAAGATTATTTCAAATCTTGGACCGTTACAAAGAATGTCAGGCATGACGAAGCACCTCAGCAAAGTTGGGAAAGTTGACCTGGGTGATAGGGTAACCGTACATGTGAAATTTGCTTGTAAACCAGAGCTAACTTTAACCCACTTGCTAAGGTAACCCTAGCTCAAGGGTAACCCTCTCTCCTTGTACCCCATGGAATTACCTCATGGACTTCCATGAAGTGTTCAGTTTTGATTTTCAAAGACAGCTTCCACGGGGTGTCCATAGATTTCCACAGAATTCTATAGTGTATCTGTAGATTTCAAAAATTTAATAGAACTTTCATGCGCTTTGGCCTGTAACTCTATGGAATTCCACTGAACTTACCGATTAAACAGATCACCAGCCAGTCAACCACAATTTCATGTTTGCAAATTTGAATTTGACAGAGAAAGAGAAATAAAAAAGCTGCTCTTGAAAATAATACTTACGTTTAGATGATACAATGAAATGGTATCTTCTTTTTACCCATGCTGAAGCCCGGTAGCATCATAACGGAATTGTTGTCTTTCAAGAGATGTTTGTAACAAAAACCAAGACCCAACTGACTGGTTCTTTAGGACCATCTCCTTACAACACGTTTCTGTTATTATTGTTCTTTGCAATTTTTTAGTGGAAAATACTGTAACTGAGGAACTGTCGCATGATAGTAATCATGACTATTATAATTACTGGTGCCTTTTTTGCTTGGTTATTTTTAGGTTGTGGCTGTCAACTGGTCTCCAGCTTTTGAGGGTCCCTTATTTGTACCAGAGGTAAATATCCACACCCCAAGAGAAGATCATCAGTGTTATAACCCCATAGTAGTTCCCACCATGAACACATAAACAGGGTCCCCACTCAGGAGAGAAAATGTTGTGTTTTCTTAATGACGGCCACCAGAACAGTTTTTTGCTACTGAAAAATAAAAGTTACCACCATAGATTTGGAATTGTACTCTAAAATCCCATGGGTCTTTCCATGCGAACCTAAGAAGGAATAAAGACGGTAAGCACGGCCTTATATGCGGGAGGTTTGGAATTTGATTACAGGTGTAAATCCATTTTTCGACTTCTTTCCCTTCCGTGTAGTTTTAAATATTTTTAAATATACCTGTAAAACGGAGCACTGGTTGAGAGAGAGGGCAGCGTAAAATGAGTGCACCGTTGGCCTCAGGTTTTTCAGTGTAATATGTACTGTAATGAGTTACTTTAACTGAATGAAATTTCTTAAACGATATTAGAGACCTGTAGTGGATGACGATGTCTGCGAGGACGCGCAGATTTGATTTGTCTCGTGTATTCTCAAGAAATACACACTGCGGAGAGCTTCTATCATTTTACTGTTTCAACAGAAAAGTTAATACGGTTGTTGTTATTCAAGGAGGTTAATCTCTCTCACGATCACAAAATGATAAAACTCGGCTTATAACATTATAGTAACTTGTGTTATTTTTCGTCACTGCAACATTTTCGCTAAAACCCGTAGTAGAATTACATCGACTATTGCGCTTTCCCGCCAAAAATGACAGTAGGTTCACTCATGCGCACTTCTTAGTACTGAAAAAATCTGGTTCACGTAGTCGTTCTCTAGAATTCCGATCCCTAGTATTATATATTTACCTCAAGTAGAGAATCTTACCAGCTGTGACAGGTGTGTTTGGCCTTACCATCGTTCGCACGTATTTGGTTTCTAACGTCCGGCACAACGTGTTCCTTCGAGAAGTCCTTGATCGTAGCCACACAGTAATTTTCAAGGAGTTATAATAACTCCTCTAGCGGGGCTAATTTAACTCCTTACTGCGGAGTTATTTTTGGGGAGTTATTTTAACTCCGAAAAGGAGTTTAAACAACTCTTTTTCAGGAGTAAAAGTGACCCCAGATATTGAGGAGTTAAAATAACCCCCAAAAAGGAGTTATCCTGTACCTAAAATTTGTAGTCCACTTTCAGAGTTAAATTGACTCCAAAAAGAGTAAAAGCAACCCATGTAAGGAGTAAAAATAACCCCATTTCGGAGTTATTTTAACTCCAGACCGGGAGTAAAAAGAACTCTTTTTGAATTTCGAGAGTAAAAATGACCCCAAATTCGGAGTTAAATTAGGAGTTAAAGGGTTATCCTGTACCTAAAATTTTTACTCCATTTTTGGAGTTATAATAACTCCCTAAAAAGTACGGTGCAGGCCCTAGCAGTAGAATAGCATCACTACATCTGGCAAGGTTTGCGCAATTAATACTACGATAGGCGGTACACCTTCAGATCCTTAGAGTATATTTTAACTTTGTCTTTTACTTATTTTATCAGGCAACCTTTCCCTCTTGTTGCCTATCATTCGTACGGCCACAATCAACTGACCTTGTTTGTTCATTCATAGGCAGATGTTGAGCCTTATTTTAAAGCGTATAGGAGGTTTACAAAGCTTCTTGATGAATCTCCAATTAAGGTATGGAAAATGGTTGCCATCATTATTCAGTTCATGGATATGCCGGTTGATTTCAGTCTTGCGCTTTAAAAAACCTCACCCTTTTTTGATCGGTGGTTAATTTGAATTCATATTGGCCGGGGGTAGCTGTAAACACATGCAGCATACAATAGGTGGCAATTTATTTCACTTCACCGCCATGTGCGTAGCCATGGAGCTGCGTAAAAATAAAATTGAAAAAAGGGGGAAATTTTTTTCCTTGGTAGCTAAGTCGTCCGTTCAAAAATTTAAGGCAACAATTTTGACGCTGCAAGTTTACCATTTTTGTCCCTGATTTCCTCCAAGTTTGCACTTTTTTGCATCATATTTGTCCCGAGCAACTTTGATGTAAATCTGATTTTTCAGCTAGTCACAGAAAGACTGCTTTGGTATTTTAGAAAACTGTGACCATGCAGCCAGGAGACTTGATATGTTTTAACAACCGCCGCGTTCTTCATGGTCGAAATTCACTCAAGCTTAATGGCGGAGTCAGGTTTTTAAAGGTATGTTTTATTTTCACAACACTATACTTGCTTACCTTCCTTATTACTGGCCGAAAATGGAAATAGATAGATAGATAGCCTTTATTTCAAAACGATGAGTATTAAAGCTACATGAACTTGTGGAGCCATAATAGGACAGAGAGGGACACTCCCAGTCACGCCTTTGGGATATCTTAATTCCAAAAAAGTTATTTTAGAACTATGCGGACCATGCGGAAACAGTTTCCGGTAATCTGGTTGACTTCCGGAAGATTCAGCGCCAAAGTGAGGCCGGGTCAATAAATGAATAATATGGCTGCCTAAGTGGAGGGACGATGTGGAGGGTGTGTACTTGATAAAATAAAATTGTCTTTCTTCAACGACGAACCTGCCATAGAAACTGGTTAAAACTTCTACACAAACGGATCCTTTACAAGAAACGGTAGAAATCGGTTAAAGCGACCGCGTGACCATCGTTTTTGTTTGAACAGCTGGAAAGAGGACAAGTAGCATTGCGGCCCGGATAAGCGTCAGCTGAAGCGTTGCACACAAAACACGCAGGTGCTACAAAGACGACCGTACAAGCGACCATGTGGACGTATTTTCTATTGAAAGAGGAAGGAAAAGAACGTATAAAGGTTTCCAGTATTTTTGTCAAGGACATGACCAGGGATCATGTGGAAAACACCTTTTCCTGCTTTGAGTGATATTTTGTACCGTGCTTCACATTGGACAATTAACAATTAAGCACTTTAATATTCTTGAACACGAGGTGAATAGAAGCGGAATATTCGCGGTGAGGTTAATATTCCTAAAGCCACTGTTCACCAAGATTAAAAATCAGTAAGGAGACCATTTAAGTTCAATTTGACGGTTTTGACGGATCAATTCACGTGTGAAAATCGGTTTGTGCAAAAGTTTGATCTTTACAGAATTTTCAAACATTGCAAATCAAGTCGCAGTTAAAAAATCCTTTCGCAAATAATGGCCTAATGGGTTATATGGAATCGCCAGAACTTTAAATTCTGCTTCCCAGCCTGTGAAGAAAAGAAGAGCTTTGATTTCATCTGTCGACTCGCCAAGTCAAGGAAAAGGTTTCTTGTGCAGCTTGTGTTGTTCTTTAATAAGTGCAGACAATGGTGACCCGGTTGCTCGAGGTAAGGCGCCGTTTCTCTCTAGTTTTCTTGACAATTTCGTAAAGATTTTCTTTTATTTTTTTTGTCATAAGTTGAATTTGATTTCTGGGGAAAATCCGCTTTTGAAGGAAACGTTGAGTTTACAAAACCATCTCTGCTGTGGCTATATGGCCGGTAACCGGTCAAGGTTTTCAAAATACCAAATGGCCGGCAGTTCTATATTCTCAGTAAATTTCACAAAATCGAAAGATTCCAGCTAATGTAAACTATCATTTGTCGATTTAGAAAAGTCAAGCGATCCTGAAATGCTTTACAGATCTCAAGTCTAGTGTTTGGTTTGCGCTGGGCTCAGAGGAGGAAATCATGTTTCGTGACACTGCTCGACTGCCGGTTTTCAAAATATGATAGTTTACATTAGCTGGAATCTTTCGATTTTGTGAAATTAACTGAGAATATAGAACTGCCGGCCATTTAGTATTTTGAAAACCTTGACCGGTTACCGGCCATATAGCCACAGCGTCGAACGCTTTTCAATTAAACTGTAATTGTCAGCATTCCATCGAGCGAAAAATACTGCTCAGTAAAGTTAATCGGAAAACGCTCTTTTGAATACTTTGAAGTCTTTTCTTACCTTCCAAAAAAATGGACCCTAGGATTTTGCCGAATTCTGAAAGGTTCTTACTCTAAAAAAGACTGGCCAAACACCGATCTAACGCATTAGTTACTCGCGAGGCTAAAACACTACAAAGACCACTCAGTGTGTGTCCTATGCATTCATGGATGCATAGGACCTTTTGATGTTGTGTTTGCCACTTATTGATCCAGCAAGTTTTCTCTATTTTAGTAACCACTTATGGTTTTAGGTGTGGGCTACTAAATGTAGTGTTATAGAAAGCTCTCAAAAGTATGAAGAATAAAAACTACTGCAATAAGTTCAAACTGTGTACAGCTTCTTGCTGAGTTGTGTCTTATTTTTTATACCCCCCTTCCTCATAGAAAAAAATACAAACCTAATATTTATTACTCTTTTTCTATAGTGTACGGAAAAACCTGTATATTTAAGCGGACTCCATATTAAAAGTTACATCCTATGTTAAGCAGATGAATAGCTCAGTATGTTTGAAAATTTTTTAACCATATTTTCCGGAAAACAATGTTTTCAAAAAGAAATGTATTCATACCCATTTTAAGGGGTATTTTCTTTGTGTTAAAAGCTTTCAACCAATCATAAGAGCTGCAAACAATAGCCAACTGAAGAAAACTTTACGTTAATTTTAAGTTCCTGACATGGGATATCTGTTTTATTCAGACTCATAAGAATTTGTTATAAGGATTCATATACATGCTGCTTTGCAAAGTTTTCTTGAATTTTGCTGCCTAAACGAATCAGAAGTATAGTACAGACAATAGTAAAGTGAGCACTTTTTTGCATTTCAACGTGTTTAAACATTGACTTTATTGATTTTAATGTTGCATTCTAATGCTCTTAAAGCCAAGTCTGCAGGAAGAGCAAGTTTGTGTAATCTTTTGCTTTTAAGGCAATCACCATGGCACCCCAATCTTTCCCTTTAAATAATCTAATAAACTCACATGTTGGCCTGCACATTAGGATTGATCAGGGTAGGCCTCCTGCAACCACAAAGACATCACAGGAGATTTAGGCTGTTATTATCAGTTAAGCTGATCAGTATTGAGCATATGACCTTCATTGAGGAAGGCTTTAAGTTAAAAATGGCAGTATCAAATTAAAATAAAAATCAATAAGAACTTCCTTTGGTCACACCTTGACCTCTTAATTAGGTCAAGTTTCTTTTATTGGTGAGTTAATCAATAATTCATGCATCTGCATGGGTTGCATTGAGAGAGACATTCTGAAACAATAAAACAGTGTGTGTGACTGAATCAATGTATCTATTCATGCCATGGCTTGAAAGAGGCAATGTCAAGGAAAGCATCTAGAAGGAGACAAATTAATATTAATGTATTGTGTACAATAACATGTGTGTCATTCAGTTGGTCACACTCTTCCCAGTAATCCTCAAATTTCAAATCCCAAATGCTTTGGCAGCCACATAGTTTAACAAAAGTATAAAAAATAATTAATGAATAAAAAAATAAGTGCTCCCTTGCCCCAAAATATAGAACTTGCACTGTTTGTCAAGCTTGTACATTATTTTCCCCCCTATTAATTCCGTGGCAAGGTCCCGACATCTTAATAGATAATTGATGATTGCTAGTAGTATTGTTCCTTCAATTCAACCTGTCAGAAAACAACAGAAGAGTTTGCAGACACTGAAAGACATATAGACTGCAAGCGGTCTCTCTTTTCCTCGAAAATCTGTAAGGGAGAGTATTTGAACAGCGTATTCGAATTTGCACCCTCAGAACTCACGGGACTTCGCTGCTCAAATACTCTCGCTAACAGATTTTTGAGCTGAAGAGAGACTGCTCACAGTCTAAAAGACATACAACATAAAAATGATGTACCAGTTTTATGACACCTTTACATGTTGTATTTTATATTATCCCTGCAGGGGGGAGCCAGCCTGGCATAAGGACTCAGTTCTTCTCTCTTTGCACCCTCACTCATCCTTCTTTTTACCATCTATTTTTATGCATATGAGGTTGTTATAAATAAAAAAGAAAAACTTGTATAATTAGAATTAGGCAGACATCCACACAAAATTTCCTGCTTTCTGCTTATTAGAGATATCCACTAAATACAGGTTTGTTTTTCTTAAATTATGGAAAGAAACATTTTGCCACATTTTGAGCTATTCGACTGCTGAATACAGGGTGTCTGCTTAATATGGGGTCTGCATAATATAGGTTTCACCATACAACGTAGAAAATGAGTTAATTAGACTTTCACTGAGGAGGGGAGGTACAAGAAATTAGACATAATTATAAACAAGAAGCTATCCACAGCTTGAACTTATTGCAGTAGTTTATATTCTTAACCCTTCTGAGTGCTTTCTATAGAGAAAAAAAGAAAAGACTACATTCAGCAGCCGACACCTAAAATCATGAGTGCCTACAAAAGTAGACAAAACTTGCTGGATCTATAAGTGGCAAACAGAACATCAAAAGGTCCTATGCATCCAAGCCTTTACATTTATTATCCATGCAGAAAGCTTATATTATTTAACACACATAACAAATGTTTGGGGTTGTATGGAAATCTTACCTATACATTGTGGTGCAGGATCTGTAAAGCTTAATTATTACAGGTGTAAGAGAAAAATATGAGGCTTGGTAAAACCACATAAAGTAAATAAACTCCAGATGAGATGATCATACTGTCGTATTTATTTCAACGCCGTTTGCAACATGAAAAACACAAATAACCTTACACAAATAAAGCTTTTACAAGCAAAAATCGGTTTCAGGATACACACAAAGTGGTCTTTGTAGTGTTTTAGCCTTGCGAGTAAATAATTGGTGAGCTCGTTGTATTGTCAATTTTTTTAGAGTAAGAACCTTTCAGAATTCGGCAAAATTCTAGGGTCCATTTTTTTGAAGGTATGAAAGGACTTCAAAGTTGCAAAAGACCGTTTTCAGATTAACTTTAGCAGTATTTTTTGCTTGATGGAATGTTGACAATTACGGTTTAATCGAGTAGAAGAGGTGAGTAAACTCAACATTTAAAGACAAATTTTCCCCCGACATCAAATTCAACTGACTTATGAGGAACAAAATGAAAGCACTGAAATCTTAACGAAAGCTCGAGATTTCAGTTAATCAGGACAAAGAAAACTACAGAGAAACGGCTCCTTACCTCGAGCAACCGGGCCACCATTGTCTGCACTAACGAAGAACAACACAAATTAGCTGTACAAAATACCTTTTTCCCTGACTTGGCGAGTCGACAGATGAAAACAAAGCGTTACTTTTCTTCTTAGGCTTGGAAGTACAATTTACAGCTGAATTTAAACTTCTGGCGATTCCATGTAACCCATTAGGCTATTGTTTACGATTTGATTTGCAATGTTTGAAAATCCTGTAAAGATCAAACCTATTGTTTACCGAATATTAACCTCGCCGCGAATATTCCCCTTCTATAAATTAAACCTCGTGTTCAATAAAGAATAATTGCTAATTGTCCAATGTGAAGTGCGGAACAAAATATCAGTTAAGCAGGAAAAGGTGTGTTCCACAAGATTCCCGCCTTCCCGGTCATGTCCTTGACAAAAATACTGGAAACCTTTATACGTTCTTTTCCTTCCTCTTTCAATAGAAAATACGTCCACATGGTCACTTGAACGGTAACGCTCATCCGGGCCGCAATGCCACTTGTCCTCTTTCCAGCTGTTCAAACAAAAACGATGGTCACGCGGTCGCTTTAACCGATTTTTACCGTTGCTTGTAAAGGACCCTTTTGTGTTGAAGTTTTAAGCAGTTTCTACGGTAGGTTCTTTGTTGAAGAAGGCCAATTTATCAACTCCACATCGTCCCTATTTAGCCTATTTAGGCTATATTGAAAAATTCAGGTTCTTATACGCGGGCTATTACTGTAGTTTCCTTCGACCAACAGTTCACCGTCTGCCCTTCGAATTATTTATGTACTTCCCTTAGTAATTACAACAATTGCAAATAAACACGATAACAAAGTTCACTGTTAACTGAGCCTATTCCAGGACTTCCGATAGTGGGGACGGACCAAAGAAAAGTAAGGAGAAAAAAATGAACAGCAAGGAGTGTATCTGAACGCCTGTAAAAGTCTATTAATCTGATTGAAGTAAAATAATAGTGCTCACGCTCATGACTAAAATTTAACGAAAGAAATACAAGAATACATATATTGCACGATGGAATTTATCTTTTGTTAGGTCGGCAGTATCTGCAAAAAAAAATCATCTGTTTATATCCTGCAACTGGCCAAAAAATAGGCCAATACTTTTTTATATAAATTTCAGCAATTTATTACATTACAGACAAAAAAAGAAAAAAAGAAAGAAAAACAGTAGTACATAGTTCAAAAGAAGGAAATAAAAAGTGGTATATATCATCAATCAATGTTCATTAATTTTGTAAAACACGGAGTCAATGCTTTGAAGAAAGTCTACGAGGAGGCAAGCCTTATCCAGATCTCTGAGGCTGATAACATTTCCCGCGATCTGCATAATCAAGCCTCATTGTTAAAATGTTATCTACGGTTTAGGTTAACGTTCTTTTACATCTGTTTTTCTTCTTCTTTGTATTCAAGGGTTGCTATGTGAACATTGACGAGTTCCGGAACACATTCCAAGTGATGTCGGAGTTGATGGGCTCGTGTCAGCCTTGCAAACGGATTGGCAACCAATGCTTTTTATAAAAGAGCATTTTGAAATTTGTTGCCGATAAGTGTTACATTGAACACTGGTGCAATCTACGGAGGGCGGGTCCAATAAAACTTGGTAATACCAAGGTTCACCAACTAGATTTAAGCAAACTGGAGAGAGATTATACGGCGCTTTGAGTACATGTATATGCAGCTGCACTCATGGTAGTTTAGTTTATAGTGACCACCGGCTCTGCGGCTAATCTGACACAGCTATACCGAGAGCCCAACTCACTAAAGAGGATTTATTGTGGCTTTCCTGCCTGTGAATGTCTCATACATTTTTAGGAACTTGTGTAGCCATTTGTGGATCTCTATATTTCGAAATGCTGCCATAAGTAGACTTCACTTAGGAAGTTCTAGAATGTTATGGGGACCGAGTTTGCTATAGATTGATCACTCTATAGCACTAGGCAGAGCACTCAACTTAACCTTTTTACAGTGTCGAATCTCTGCCGCAAAGCGTGCATTCCGCTTCAGGACTTCTAATTGGAACAGTTTCTCCAACGAAACTAGAAACTCTGTCTCTTTTGAGGCTGGATTCCTCTCGTTGTCAGTGGAACTTGGATTCTGGATTCCAATCTTTAGTAGGATTCTTGATTCCTTGAGCTCCAGAGTCCAAAGCTCAGGATTTCAGATTCCACAAGCAAAATTTTCCCGGATTCCGGAATCCCGATTCCCTTGCATGGGGCGACCGTTGAGTATATGCATGTGGCAGCAGCCTATATTGACCCGCACTGCTCTGCGGCTAATCTGACACAGCTATACTAAGAGCCCAACTCAATAAACAGGATATTATTCCGGCTTTCCTGCAAGAAAACACCGTGGGCCTGCTTGTGTAGGCATTTATAGATCTCCATATTTCGCTTAAGTAGACTTCATTTAGGAAGTTCTTGAATTTTATGCCATAAATTTCTATGGATTTTAGTCTAGAGTGGTGAATGTTTGTAAGTTGTAGAGTTCCACAGTTGTAAAGCTACATTGTACCCTCATTATGCCATAAATCTCGTTGCTGTTCGGAAAATCCTGCGTTCCTTCGGGTCTGCAAGCTACAATGTTGCTTGCAGACCTGACTGAACGCAGGATTTTCCGAACAGACACACGCTTGTTCAATAGCCAACGGGTTACCCCTTGTTAGCTGAGATTTTTCATCCTCTTATGTTCCGTTTCTACTATTTGTGTTAAATTATTTGAGTACAGTGCCTTTAAACCAGGGTCAGGCTGCCGCACAGCCATCCTTTGTGTCGTCACGCAACGCAGCTGTGTAGCAGACTACTTTTGAATGTACTATACTCAAAGTAATAGACATTTTTTTATGGCGCGTCAAGCGATACAATTCTGAAGGTTGACACACCACGTGACCCTTGTATTATGATACCATGTTGAACTTCTTTCAAAACCAGCCTGTTCTTATCTTCAAGAATCGATAAATAAATTGCATGTACAAGCCACTATTTTTCTTCGTCAAACATCTTCAAGGACTGAATTTTTCCCTTGGACCCAAGGAGTCAATGGAGTCATCTACACAGTGTTGTATTTTCTTTGCATTGTTGTTAATTCCGCATTCAGGTACGTACTTTCTTCATCATAGATTAAATTAAATACCGCCTGAAAATTTACTTGGTCATAAGAGAATCAGGCTAGCTTTGTAAAATTGTTAAACCTGCCGTGACCTTTTTATTGATAACTTTTTTCCGATAAAGTAGATTAACATTGTAAGTCTCATGTTTTTCCAGCGGTAGATCTATAAGCCGCCAAACGTTTGGTACGTTTTGTTCTGTATTTACCTCTAGGGCCTAGGGGTGACTACATTTTCTACATGATCGTCTCAAACGAATATTTTGAGATTATTGAGCCCCTCTATGGTAAACTGTGGACGTCGTTTGACTCGTTTTCGTCGCTTGCGCTCGTGAACGTACAGCGAACTTCTCTGAAGATTTCAGGGCCTCATAGCATGCACTATTGAAACTCGATCGGAATGGCAATACAATCGTCCGAAACCCATTCTTTGAGATCGTGGTTCAGTCATTTAAAGCGATCGTTGTGAATTCGATTTCGTCGAAAGTACTATCCATAGAGAGTCTCATTATTCCAGCAATGGGAACGATCGGGTGTATGCAAACAGAATAGTGAGAGCTGAAACCTGAGTCGGTACGCTGATACATGTCAATAGGTTGGTTGCGCTACTCCCTCAAGTGTAACGTATTCGATTTAAGTCGTGCAAAGAACAGTTTTTAGTTCATGCCACTGAGTCAAGAATATTTTACGGTGGATTCTTTAGCAGCAAACACTTATAGCCGTCGCACTTTATTGTTTTTGACTTTGAAAAATTCCAACAGCAATTTAAATGCGACGGCATACGCGTAGTATGCAGCAAATGAATCCAACCCGTACAGACAGCCAAGTGTTTTTCCAGGTGTTTTTGTATGTGGATTTCAAAACTGATAAAAAGTGGGCGGGGAATTAACGAGTCATCCTATAACTTCAGTCCGTAAATATTCTGATGAACAATCGAATTTATGTCTAAGGATTTTTTCGTCATTACAAGACCTTTTTTGTAGGCACACTTATTGAAAAAAAAAAGGATATTTGCGACAATGCTTTGTTTACTTACGAAAATGCTCTTCCGGCGACTTGCTGGAAGGCTAGTGTATACTTACATCGCAATCGCTTACGGTTTGACATCTTCCACTCCAGGGTGCCACAGAGGATACCAAGGGCAAAATGAGGAGACCTTTGCAAGGGGGTTGGGGTATGCTGTCGCTTGTGGGTCATTTCTGAGAGTGCCTGTCGCCTGGTAGGTTACGAAAAAATGTCGCTGTCGTATTGTACTTAGGACGAACATGTTGCTCAAGTTGGAATGTACGGCAGATATAGGGCCTCGGAAAGAATAAATTGTTGTAAACCTTTCTCGCTATTGGGACAGTTCTTGATCGACACCATAATTAAAAACGCTCTAAAGAAAATAACAGAAAATGCTTGGAAATAATGCAAGAGAATTTGTTATTTCGCTGCCAAAACAGCCAAAATACACGAGTGAACAGATGTCTCTTTTTTCTATTTAAAAAGTGAATTTGTCAGTATCACAAATTATACAAATTATACATTTATTGGTTGTCAGAGGATTTTTATCTTGTTTTCTTCCTCTTTGACAGATCATGTGATTTTAGTGCGCGCGCAAGAGTTGAGCATGCGTACTTAGGGAGCAACTTGAGAGCGCTTGTTTTGCTGACTTACGTAAGCAATGGAAACAAGCGACAATATCTTAGAATCAAATTTGAGCTTTTATACCTGCCATTAGTCTTAAATAACACCCCAGTGAATGGTAATCATCTACAACCTATCAGACTGTGTTCAGCCAGATTGATCCATATGCGTTCTTTAATCGCTAGGGTTTCTAAAGCGCTAGAATACGTAATGAAAAACGCGCCGCGGCCCTTTAAACCAAACCCATATGTGGAACTTTTATATACCTTGCTATTCTAAAACTCTTGAGAAACTTTGAAACTTTTACTCAAATTCTCTTCATCCAGTATTAATTTTAGACACTGAACTCTGATCTATAGAGAATCCTCTTCAATACGGGTAAAAAACCTGCTAGAATAGAAAGCAGAATGGAAAATAGCTATAGATATGTTCTGTCTGCTGGCGTCAATACCTGCACCTTTCTCCGAAGTTTACTGATATGCAACTTCTTTTTATAATCCATGATTTATATTCATTCTTGCAGTGATGAGTGATATACATCTGATATCAGGTTATAAAGGAAATTCTGTTACAGGATTACTTGGATCTTCTGTAAATTTCTCCTGGAGCTTCTCCAATGGTACAAAAGGTGTTCGGGGAGTTCTGTTTGGGCTTATCAAAGATCACCGAGCACGCGATTTTATTCCCAATGGAATACTAGTAGCTTTTGGTGAATCAGGAAGCCCAGAGTCTGTTCCAGTTCCCGTACAATATAATGGGCGAGTAAGCGGAAGCTATGACGGCAACACGTCAACCGTTCACGCCATCTTCACACTCAGTTCCATAGAAAAAGATGATGAGAGATTTTTCGGCTGTCGTGTTTCCCCACAATACTCTTTCGACGCAGAGGTTTTTGACTCTGTATACTTAAATGTTGCAGGTGGGTTATATTGCTAGCATATATAAACAGTAAACTCTCTGAGACCAGATTTTTGTCTCCACAAATTGACTCCAAAATTGCCGATACTTTCTTCATGCTCGTTCAAGACGTATCAACACAGGCCCGTAGGGAGGGGGGTGCGACGAGTGCGCACGCACCCCCCTACAGGTTCCAGAGGTCCCTTTTTTGTTGATCAAAGATTAAAACAAAGTAAATTTCGACTATTGTTCTATTCTAATTCACTGATTGTGTACTGTAGTAAAATTGAAAATACTGTGAAAGAGCTCATAAGCCTGCCTCACCCTTTCAACAAAACGTGTTTTAGCCTTCGTAAACTATATATCAAAAAGGGAATTTGGTATACCTACAAGAAACTGACCCTTTTCTAATGCGTCACTCAAAAAATAGGAAATTCCAGGCAATATTTTTTTCTCCGAACAGATATTTTACAGAAAACAGTCGTTAGGTACCCCTGAGTTATTCGGCCGTGACGGTTGCTAGCCAGGGAGAAACATTACTGTTAACTTTGTTTTCGTTTTTTGGCGAAAGCGGTGCAACCGTTTTTGACTGGACTCATTTATCGGGCCGTTTCAGGGATTTGGAATTCTCGTTTTCGAATTGCCTGTTAAACAGCCAATTACAAAGGGTGGATCTCGGATTCACTTGTGCTTAAAGGCGATGAAGATATGCATTGTTCGTTTTTTGAGTTAGCCCTTTGTCTTTGAGCATGGTTTAAAATATCTGCTGTTTTCTGTGGCAAAAAAGTAATACTAGCGACACAAGAAAAGCTCTCTTCACTGGCTCTTATGCACATACACCGTCTAACATAATGACAAAGTTGTCTCTGCCAAAGAAATTCAATTTTGAAGTGCCAAAATTTGAGAAATATTCATGTTTTTCAAAACGTTAGTAACACAGTATCAGACAACCTAGTTTCCCCCTCCCCGCCTAGAGATTTGCTCCTCCGGTCTCGTTCGGTCGACGTCCGCCTCCTCCTTGGATTGCATCTCCCCGTAATTCCGTAAAAAAAACTGGCTACGGGCCTGCAACGGGCACGGTTTATCATTACAACATTATCTTTCTGGCCTTTATTCGAACTTTCCCAGGAAACGAGATGTTCTAAAAATGCAAGCCATTTTTTTTCTTTCCGTATTCGTTTGCCAAATGGGGTGTCATTGTTCCAAGCGTTCCTTGCGGAGACCATGGAAAGTGGGTATGAGAATCGCAACCCCTTACGACTCTCTTGCCTCTACACTGAAAACAACATAAAATTACTTAATTCTCTATGGCAAGACCAGTCATAAATTCGGCTCAGCCGGTCGTCTCCGTCAAAAACACTGTTTAAAATTTTTAACCCAGATAAGCCGAAAAGGGGTTGTGTGTTTATAACCGTCGCAGCATTAGCTCCGTTTGTAGAGCGCAGAGCGGAAGGTCGTTGGTTCAACTCCCTGGGCCGTACCAATACTCAGGGACATGAAATATCTGAAAAATAAAGGTACTTCCCTTGCTCTAGCCTGTACACAGACGTTGTTTTATGATTCTTTTCGTTCTTTTCAAAAACATCGGCGAGCGAAGAGAGCGCGCGAGAACGAGCGCGGAGTCTTGCGTTGGCGGTCAATAGACCCCTGCCGGGTTTATATTCTATCACCCGCGCTCGATCGCGAACGACTATGAAGAGAAAATAGAGGGTCTGTGAACAGGCTACCCTTGCTCTGCAAACGGCTAGACTTTCGCGTACCCTCGGATGATTACGTAAAATGGTGGTCACGTCTGCAGAAGGAGACGTAAAATTAGTGTCCTCAATTACCTTTTATCACTTATTTTCGCGCGACTTTAATTTCGCGAATTTGGAATAGAAGTATTTCGAATCAACAGTTTTCAAGGTAATTAAATTTCGCGAATCAAGTACGCTGGTGCTCGTTTCTGAACTGAA